TCTCAAGATGAGATCCAAAGAGCTGTCACTATCAGTGAAGCAAGCCATCATTAGGCTGAAAAAACAAAACAAACCCATCAGAGAAATAGCAAAAACATTAGGCGTGGCCAAAACAACTGTTTGGAATATTCTTAAAAAGAAGGAACGCACTGGTGAGCTCAGCAACACCAAAAGACCCGGAAGACCACGGAAAACAACTGTGGTGGATGAGCGAAGAATTCTTTCCCTGGTGAAGAAAACACCCTTCACCACAGTTGGCCAGATCAAGAACACTCTCCAGGAAGTAGGTGTATGTGTGTCAAAGTCAATAATCAAGAGAAGACTTCACCAGAGTGAATACAGAGGGTTCACCACAAGATGGAAACCATTGGTGAGCCTCAAAAACAGGAAGGCCAGATTAGAGTTTGCCAAACGACATGTAAAAAAAGCCTTCACAGTTCTGGAACAACATCCTATGGACAGATGAGACCGAGATCAACTTGTACCAGAGTGATGGGAAGAGAAGAGTATGGAGAAGGAAAGGAACTGCTCATGATCCTAAGCATACCACCTCATCAGTGAAGCATGGTGGTGGTAGTGTCATGGCGTGGGCATGTATGGCTGCCAATGGAACTGGTTCTCTTGTATTTATTGATGATGTGACTGCTCACAATAGCAGCAGGATGAATTCTGAAGTGTTTCGGGCAATATTATCTGCTCATATTCAGCCAAATGCTTCAGAACTCATTGGACGCTTCACAGTGCAGATGGACAGTGACCCAAAGCAGACTGCAAAAGCAACCAAAGAGTTTTTTAAGGGAAAGAAGTGGAATGTTATGCAATGGCCAAGTCAATCACCTGACCTGAATCTGATTAAGCATGCATTTCACTTGCTGAAGACAAAACTGAAGGGAAAATGCCCCAAGAACAAGCAGAAACTGAAGACAGTTGCAGTAGAGGCCTGGCAGAGCATCACCAGGGATGAAACCCAGCGTCTGGTGATGTCTATGCGTTCCAGACTTCAGGCTGTAATTGACTGCAAAGGATTTGCAGCCAAGTATTAAAAAGTGATTATTATTCTGTCCCATTACTTTTGGTCCCTTAAGAAGTGGGAGGCACATATGCAAACTATTGTAATTCCTACACCGTTCACCTGATTTGGATGTAAATACCCTCAAATTAAAGCTGACAGACTGCAGTTAAAGCACATCTTGTTCGTTTCATTTCAAATCCATTGTGGTGGTGTATAGAGCCAAAAATGTTAGAATTGTGTCCATGTCCCAATATTTATGGACCTGACTGTATGTACATTACTGCACATCCAGCCAGCTTAACCCAAACAAACTCAAGGTTCACATTTTATACCCCGCGTAGAAGACGACCCCCAATTTTTGGGGTATATTTTTAAGTATAAAAAGTAGTCTTATACGCCAGAAAATACTGTGTGTGTGTGTGTGTGTGTGTGTGTGTGTGTGTGTGTGTGTATATATATATATATATATATATATATATATATTTTATATTTTTTTTAAGCGCTGCACTTTCTTACACAAGTTATCACTGTGTGCACACCGTTGGAGAGATTTCCCTTCTCTTCCTGTCCCAGATATACAACAGAAATCACAAGGTAATCTCTACAATGTGAGAGGAATTTACTTCCTAGCTATTTCCAGGAACAGGTGTACCCATTGGTGACTCTACCTAGTTGGGACACAGACAATAAAAACCTGAGCTTACCAACTCTATCCAAAAAACACGTGATTGCATAGATATATTTTTTTTAACCAGTCGTTGCCATGAAAAGAAATAAAAATCCGTATCAGTAGGTCAAGGATATTTTATTATGTGTACAAATATGCAAACCCAGATAAACGACCACATCCGTTTCTTAAATAGAAATCTAGTTTTATTGAGATTAATACAAACTGGTTTCCACAACACTGTGTATGATACAGGGCTGCCAGAGAGGGGTGTGGGTCACCTAAAGTGTCAATCACAAAGGGGCAGCCTAAATGACTGCTGCAACAGTCCATCGCCAAAGGGAAAGGGGTAGTTTAGGTGCAGACTGTATACAATATAGGGGCATATCTTGGGGCCACCATCTGCTGGGGGGTTTATAAGCCTCGGTGGGGTGTGGTGAGGCTTACCAGATCCTCAGCAGCTCGGAGGCCCAAGGTAGCCAATAATATAATACATATAAAAATACGACAAAGGCCCTCATTCATCAAAGTGTGAGTGATAATTCACCCAGACTGCCCAAGGCAGCCATTCAGTCTCTCTTTCAGTCTCAGGGAAACCGAAAGGCAGAACCTGGCCGCTTTGAGCAACATGGACTGTCTGAGACCATTTTGGACGCTTTAATAATTTTGGCCCAGTGTCTGTAAAGTAACAGCCCGTACCTTTACCAACAAGGGAGGAGATACTGTACAATACAAAGTGCATAGAGCAGTACTGAGTAGAAACCGAACCATTACCACAATCTGCCACACAGTGCTTGTAGCTGCCGGTCATGTATATACAAGAGATGAAGGTTATTCCCTTCTGTAAAAGTACAGCCAAATTCTAGAGTCATCATGTTAAATAAAAAAAAAAAACAAAAAGGTAAAAATCTAAGCTACTCAACTCACAGCAACCGATTCACACAAAACCAAAAATATACAGGAAATGAATTCGGAATCCACAGATAACCATTTTCAGTGCTCTCCCCTATAATCCCCGAAACTGTGTCGTACATTTTGGTTTGTGTAGGAATGTTCTGCAAAAGGTATTTAAATGATAAAGTTATTGTACGAGAAACCACAGACTTCAATAATCAAAGTGTGTGAGAGAAGTGTCTGCGTTGTCCTAAGAAAAAAAATGGCAGCTGGGATTGGACTGGCTGGTCGACGCAGCACAGACAGTTCTCTCGCCTTGGTAAATGTGGCCTTCTGCCAGCCTGCAGATCCTTGGATGAGATTATGAAAGCGAGTAGCTGCAGGCACTGAGGCAACCATGCAAGAACCGGTTGTGTTCCTGTCCTGAGTAAAGCCACATTTTCCTAGTCATAAGCTGTATTCTAGGTGCCATCACAAGCCCCCGGAGAGCCGACAAGACTGCAGGAGGAGGTCACTACAGCGTGGTTATCACTGCGGCTCGCCATGTCTGACAGTGCCGGTAGACCTAAAGGTGTAAGCACCTACGATGACAACCTGCTGCAAAAGCTGAAACTATGAGGCCAATCAGAACCAAGATGGCTTGCTACCATTTGTTACAACTACACTTTGTACTCACAACCAAGTGTAAAATGCCATACAAATTCCAGAGGTGGGTTTATATACAGTGAAGTCAGTTCCAACAAAGGGTTACACACACGCTGCTTCAGTAGTACAGGCTATACCCCTGCAGTAAGGGTATTACTATACAGAAGTCTGGCAATTTCCATAAATGACTTGTAAAGGATCATTTCAGACAAAATTGGGAATTGTAAAGTGTCTAGATTGCTGTCAGGTTTCCTTTCACGGCCTTCAGCTGGAGAAATGATCCTCCACCATATACGAAGCATTACATTTATAGTTTGTATTGGGTGGCCTGACCAACCACAATCCGCCTACCACTGAACCTTTAGTTTTTTCCAGTGAGAAATTGTTTTTTGTTTTTTTTGCATATGAAAAATGTCAGTGTATAAATGAATGTGTAATACTGTATTACCAGTGTCATACCTCTATAATCCACACTTACCAACAAAGAACCAGAGTCTCCTTTTCTCCATCACATTAACATGCAGTGGCTTGTGCTGACATAACACATTTCTGTGCACACATAGCTGTGACACATACCCACAACATATTGGGGAACAGAAAAAAAGGTGACAATAAACGTTCAGAAGTGCTTCATTATGTGACACCCCATAAAGCAAACTTGTATCAGACTCCCATTTAAACCTTCGCCATTTACTGCACCTAGGATGGGTGTACTGTTCTCTCCCGGGCCTCTCTCACCTACGTGCTGCATTTTTAAAAAAAATCCTCCTACCTGCAGTTGACAGAAGAATACCTTCTGCCTGTAAAAAGTACCGGTGTTTCATGTAAAACTTCTTTACCCTGGTAAATGCATGAAGAAAACTTGTTAAACTGCACACAAAAAAATGACTTCAATGCTAAAAAATGCATAAGAGAGCATAAATATAAACAGGCTGCTTGCAAGACAGAAGGTGTCCCTGTCACTCAGTAAACTTGTCAACAATACCATCATGAATCAGGCATCACAGTCTGAACAGGCACCTCCTGGTATCTGTAAAGCCTGTTTCCAGATCCTGATGCCAGTTTATTAACCATACAGGTTATATACGGATTCAGGTCATCTGCAGAGTATATATTTTAAAAGGCCACATGTGCGTTTCTTAATCGGCTGATTATACCATCACCTCAACCCACCCACTAGTCTGTGAGTGCTCATTTGTGAAGAATTACAAAGTTAAATGCACAGAAAATGAGCCACATGTAATATTAATAATAAATACAACACATACAAATAAAATCTTGTTTCCCTGGTGCCTTGCAGAGATTTTCTAACATGCGAAAATGCTCTGCCTTTGACGACACACTCAATCGTAGCGCCCTGTTCAAACAAGGTATTCCAGGTCGATGGAGGATACCAACCAAGCTAAGCAGTTAAGCTAGCCACACACGATTAGGATTTTGATCAACCAATCATTATTATTATATTATTATACAGGATTTATATAGCGGCAACAGTTTTCGCAGCACTTTACAAAATGAAATATGTATATCCAAAAATGAATTCATCAGAGCGCTCGATGACCCGACAAATTGTGTTTAAAAGTTGTATAAAATTGTGTTAGATTGCCAATGTTTCAAATTTGAATGCTTGATTTTGGGAAGTATGTAATATTTGCGTATAATGCAAGTGATGCTATTAGCCGGTCCCTCATACTACTATATGTAGAGGAAGAATCGTTTGCAAAAATGATCATTTACAATCTTTCGTTGTGGCAAACATTGTATGCGCCTGTGTTTTTATACGGTCCCACACAGGGACGGACTGACAACTCATGGGGCCCCCGGGCAATAGGGGATCATGGGGCCCCTGTGTCCTTGCCGAAGCTCAAAAAAGCCTATGAAAAAGGTACCAGGGGCATCTCATGGGGCCCTCTACTGACCCCGGGCCCTCGGGCAGTGCCCGAGTTTCCAAATGGTCAGTCCGCCCCTGCTCCCACATCTTATCATGATATATATAGCATATTTATAATTATATGCACAGGAGCCCATGGGGTTATAGTGGATACATGGCAATATACTACAGTAGAATTCTAAATCTACCTATGCATATGCATTATATTTATTACACAAACCTTTGTTAGCATTCCATTATGTATATCATCATTAAGGCAAACGACTGTTCAATGACAACGAAAGTTGTACTTCCGGATGGAAGTAGTCCTAGCACAAGCGCAATTACAATAACTGATTGACCACCTTCCTTGTTAGTGTTTCAAGAAAAAAATGTTTTCAGCTCAGTACATTAGGAAATCAGTTTTATCCCTCTCAATGGAAAACAGAACAAATGTTTAGAAAACGACCGCTTTTGAACACCATTCTAATCGTGTATGGCTTGCTTTAGAGCAGGGGTGTCACATTGGCGGCCCTTCAGCTGTTGCGAAACTACAAGTCCCATCATACCTCTACTTTTGGTAGTCATGCTTGTAACTGTCAATCTTGCAATGCCTCATGGGACTTGTAGTTTGGTAACAGCTGGAGGGCTGCCAGTCTGACAGCTGTGCTTTAGAGTATCTGAAATAAAGACCGATAGTGCCATCGTAGGCTAACCTTTGCAGTCTGATTGACAAGAGGCACCTGGGATGTCAGTGTGTTAACCAAAGGCTATCACTATTATTACAAATCTGCAAAATCCACGTATGTGTCCTTCATGGACCTTTCTGTCACAGTTAATAAGTAAAATGACATTTAAGACTTTTGTGTTGAAAGAATACCTGCATAATGTAGAAGCTACTAAACTGGCCTCAATATTTAAGAGCGGGTATCCTCTGGTGCCATTCAGTCCATACGTATTTACTGAAAGCAGCACTGAAGCGATTTCACCATAGCTATGTGCTATTATTTAAATTCCTCTAACATATCCCCCAATGCAGTTTCTAAGAAATTGCAACCATGGGGATCACAACGCTGCTCATGGGATCCCCATGGCTCTAACAGTCATACGTGTGCGAAGTATGTACAAAGGGTGGGAACTGTGTGTGTGGTCTCTCATTCTGAATCAGGAAAAAAAAAAAAGCCCTGAACCAATAGGGAACTTTCCTTTCTGTGCTTCAAGTGCCAGTCATGATGAAAGATAAGACAGGCTTGTCTCTGGCTTAGATCTGCTCATTTAAAAAAGCAGTTTTCCATCTTCAGAATACGGCATCACACTTTGCAGAGTAAGACTCCTCAGGTTACATTATTTACAAGGAATGTGCTGGAAGAAATGTATATTATTGGCAAAAAAAAAAAAAAAAATTCAATGGCCAGCTCAGATTTAACTGGCTTGCCAAGCCTGAAGCGGCTTTCGGATTAATCACGAGTCCCAAAAAAAGAAAGAGCCAACCAGTCCCTATCGTAAGAAACAAAAACGCAACTTAGACAAACAAAATTCTGAGATTTCAGTATCTTTTGATAAAGTCTCACAATATTTCATAAATGCCACCTCCCTCCCCCCCCCTACATGTACTGGACCATTTTTTTGTTTTAGTTAAAAAAATATATAAAATATATTCAAAAACATATTACAGAAGTAGATAGTGTACAATGCTCCAACTTATACAGGTATATACACAAACACACATTGGCTTCTTTTTTTTTTTTACGTTTTGCAGTCATGGTGAAAGCCCTTGGATCGAGGACTGAGATGCATGAGGTTAAAGACATTTGTAGAGGTCAAGTGCTCGGGCCTTATTGTATTGTAGCGGCATGCAATATCGAGGGGATTTCCTCTTTTTACAGAAAGTAGATTTACTGCAGAAACTCGACCCAAGACAGATGAAAGCTTTTTCTGTGGACTGGAGCAGGTCTTGATCCTCTGGGGAGGGGTAAGCTCAGGGATTGTTCACAGCAGACATGTCATAATGCACATAAAGGTGTGGCATTACAACGCACTTTAACGTATGCCTATCTATGTTGTAAAGACCCCACCCCCTTTTTTGCTATACAACTGAAGGTCCATGGCCAGATGTGTTAGCTCAAATCAGCCAAGTCACTTGGTTCTGCTACAAAGCCCATATTATATATGTGATGCCATGCTAATTATTATTATTAAGTCCCTTTAAAGAGGACTGCCTTAAAACGTTACTAAACCCACAACAGTAAAATCAGTCTGTATATACAGTACAGCATGCTTGTTATACTCACTGTGGAACCTAAGGGGTTAACCCTTTGCATTGTGTAAAAAAGGAGGTTTACTACTGTTATCTCTGATCCTCCCCTTCTTCCACATTCCCCATTTCATCTCCTGATAGAACACAGCCTCAGGGTCACTCTGCACATGCTCAGTTTGGTGTATATGGCTAGAGAGTCTTTTTCTTTTTCTTGGGAGAGTGCATGTGATCAGTACAGGGCCAATCAGCACTGTCCAGACAGAGGGTCAGGGGTTTCACATCTTCCTAGAGCAGAAAGAAAACTCCTCCTACAAGCTTTAACCAGTGGTCAGCTGGACACTGATGGAAGTCACTAGACTGCTCTAACTGCTGATGAGAAAAGGTATTTTGCGGTTTATACTTACTAAAATAATTGCAGTTCTGTGTACTCTAGGAGACCAGATATAGTGAATGCAGGGTCCCGGGTTTAGTAACATTTAAAACGGAATTGTCACTATAATCTTAATTTTTTCCCATTCTGTGCTAAAAATGAAAACACCAAAAAAAATATGTAAGGTAAATATGAAAATACACTGCATATAAATATTTCAAATTTACCCCATTCAGCAGGTGGAGCACTTCAACAATATTAGAATCTGCTAAATCTCTTCCCTGCAGCTGGGCATAAAATTCGGCCTGAGGAGGGACAACAACCCCTCTGTCCTCTACATTTTAACACACTGAACTATCATTAAAGTGGTTCCAAAGGTAATACGTTTTTTACCTTAATACACTCTATACATTAAAGCAAAAAAGAAAAAAAAAAAAAAACATCCTGCCACTTTCTGTGCACCGCCCCCTCACTAAATACTTACCCGAGTCCTCTATTGATTCAGCACTGTACATGGCTGCATTGGTTCTCTTCACTACTCCCCACTGTCATAAGTATGCTGAGAGCAACGGGAGCCATTGGCTCCCGCTGCTGTCACTCAAATCCTGTGAGGAGGAAATGGGAGGTTGGGCCGAGCTACTCTGTGTGTCTATAGATGCACACAGGTGTGCCCCCATAGGAAGCAGCTACCTAGTATCTCATACTAGATCTATTCTACTGTATCTAGCTGATTAGCACAGTATAGCAGAAAGCATGCAAGCAATGCTGGGCTTTCTTATTTGAAACCCCAGAATATGTTTTACGCAGAGTGCCACAAATGCAACCTCCATTAACTGTTCATTTTTAAAAATAAATATTTTATACAAATAATTAAAAATGATACAAAACAGTTCATAAACCTGTAAACATTAAAACAAAATAGGCTAAAATAAGCTAAAAACATTATAGTCTCCCCTTTAAAAATGATTGTAAATACTGCCGAATTTGAACATACTATGATTAGTGCCACTGGCTTGCCATACTATCCTGGTAGTCCTCTGTAAGAAGTGTATTCTGGGCTGCCCCAATAAAACATTCACAGACTTACAGAGAGGTTACTGACTTCTTTGCATCATGCTAGCCTCACTGCCTCTGACTGTTAGGCAAGACTTTACAATGAGATCTATGCGTTGCCCAGGGGTAGGAAGAAAAAGACTGATGGCATCATACACCGAATAGTGGCGGAAGAAGGCATGACAGGTATGTTCTGCTGAGAAGGGAAAGGGGGGGTATTAAAGAGAACCTGTTGCTTTTGTTGTGCACAGTTCTGCTTAAATGTCTAACAAGGCCTCTTACAGCCTCATTCACATAAGAGGACCTACCTGACCTGAAGCCATTTGGAGACCTGGAAAGGGGATGAAACTTGCCCCATTCCACCCACCTTGCATCTGTTTTCGGGAGGAGTTCTGCTTTATCTTAAAAATAAGCTATATAACGCGCCTCATGCCATTGAAAGGTAAGGTTATTTGCTCTACGAGCGGAATTCATTTATATTTACAGAAAATATTGTGCGGGAGTTGAGAGAACACATCTGGAAAAAGCCTGTACAGACAGGAATCAGTCGACGGACTGCTCCAGGGAGGTGCTGCTGTTCAGGGGTCGTTTTGGCTCAGTGGCAGAAAAGAACCTGACGTCTTGGTCTCTATCCAGCTGCATGGCTTGTACGGTCTTCTCCACGGCCTCCAGGTGTGGGTGCCCCAGGCTGGTGAAATACGCTGGAAGAAACAGCATATGATTACATTTTTTAAAGGTTTGCTCCATCTACTGCCTCTACCCAGAATCTCACTCCTCCTGCTGCATTCCTTGTCATGCAAAATACAAAAAAAAAAATTCTAGAGCCAGGTAAGACCCATTGTATTGCCTTAACTAAGCTTCAGAAAACACGTAAAAAAAAAAACCCCCCGCCATCTACCATTTCCTTTCAGAAATGGGTGCCTGCTCCCAGAAAAAAAAGGAGGGATGGAGAATGAGGATAAGCAGAACTTTCCATTTTAGGTGAAGTTCCAACTTTAAATGACAATAATTTAGGTGCATGTCATAAATTTAGAGATGTCTTCTGTGTCCTGTTCACTCTTTCTGTGTTATCTCAAGGATTCTCAGTAGCCCCCCTAGTTCTCATCTTTGACTACAAAACAATGGCGGGAATTCAATAAAGCTTCTCCTCCACTTTTCTGGTGGTAAACCTTCTTGCACCAAATTCATAGAGCATCTGCAACACTTTTGTTTCTGGCAGCGACTTGTGCGCCGAAATCCAGATCAGTTCTAAGAAGAAGAGCCAAATTCAAAATAAAATACCAACAGTTCATATCTTGTAAAAGTAGAGGCGTACAGAGACTCTGAAGCAGACAGATTTTGCTAAAATGTCTTGTGTGCATTCTACAAGTGGCGCCACATGCACCAAATTCAGGCACACATTCCAGACCGGTATTGTACAGGAATCTGGTGCACATTGCACCACTTTTAGTATGTACGCCAGACACTTTTGCAAAATCTGTCTATGCCAGTCTGAATTCCAGGGAATAAATCTCCATGTTTTAGAGAAAGGAAGGGGGTGGGGTGACTGAGCAACACACAAGTGAGCAGGGCTGACACCATTCAATCCACAAAAAATGCTGTGTGTTGTCAGCCCCCTTAAAAGTCCACTTCTGGCAGATCAACGGTTATTTTCTGTACTTGCATGATCTTTAAAGGGATAAATTTATTTATTACAGGTACTTATATGTGGCCATCAATTTTTGCAGCGCTTTACACACACACGTGTGTGTGTGTGTGTGTGTGTGTGTGTGTGTGTGTGTATATATAATTTTCTTTGTACATTCACATCAGTCCCTAACCCTCAAGGGGCGTACAATCTAAGGTCCCTAACTCACATTCATACATACACATACTAGGGACAATTTTAGACAGGATCCAATTCACCTCCCAGCATGTCTTTGGGGTGTGGGAGGAAACCCACGTATGCACAGGGAGAACATGCAAATTCCAGGCAGGTGGTGCCGTGGTTGGGATTCAAACCACTGACCCTAGAACTGCCAGGCGGAAGTGCTAACCATTTAGCCACTGTGCTGCCCAATATCATGACAAATGTGCATGCAATGAAGAGATGCACTGTATATGTTTTTTTTTCCCTGACATACACTTGACTGAAGTGAAACTTTAAAAAAGAAAACCTGCCAGGATGTCTATTGTCACATCCCGGGTCCCTCAGTGGCTGGAGTCTGCCCCTTTAAGCAGTGCTAGTTCCAGGCTAGAAGTGCCTGTACAAGACACATTCATCTGTGACACGCTGGATGGAGCTGCCCTACTAAGTTAGTCAATGGCAACTTACAGCACTGGATGGGAGCCCCGGGGAAAAGTATAACGTCGCTATCATTTGTTCCCTTATTTGTACCTGTTTCCAGAAGAGTCTGTTTAAGCGCCTTAGCCAGTAATACTCGCACATTGGGCACAGGGTCTGACGCCAAGCTTAGAAGACTGGGGAGTAAGTGTGCAACAAACTGCTCGGCTGGCATACACTCCTCCTGCACCACCGCCTGTCAAACAACAAACACAGATATTACCATACAGGGAAAATTGTGTGTGATGCAAACATGGTATTATTTATTATGATCACAGCAAAACCGTTTCTTCTTTCTTGCTGAACAGGAAATATTCCTATGAATATTTTATATTTACAACATGAGACTAGCAGGCAGGGAGTTTAAAGGTAAGAGCCGGCTAATTTAGAGCTACGTTGTGTCTAGCCTGTGCTGTGATTAGGCCTACACAGCAGGAGAATTCAGATTACATGCTGCTGAATGACCTAGAGGGATAACACCATCTTCCCTCACAACATCATGTCAGTAGGAGGCAAAGCTTCTATTACGTCAGCTTCTGCTGCACCATGGCAGTTATGTTCTGCTTTCCTGCTTCAGGCCTACTCACCTACGCCACCTAGGAGGTGCATCAAGAATTGCATCTAAAATATACCCACACATCTAACTGGCATTTAAAGAGGAGTGGACAATCTAAACAGGCTTGTTTCACAGAAATCATCATTTTGCTAAAGTTTTATATTGATTTTAAATATAAATAGAGCTTATAAAAGTTCTTTATGGCATAATCTGGAGAGGACAGGTCCACTTTATATTAGAATGGATATGCATAGCTTGTGGGAGCAGAGAACTTTACGAGACGAGAAGGAAGACATACTGTGGTGGTGGATGAGGAGAGTACAGATTGTACATCAGAGGAGGGACAAGGAAATAAAAAAATACTTCGAGGTTAGAAATACCTGACAGATGAAGGCAAAGGCCTGCCTTCCCACCCATTTGTTGGAGTGTCGGAACTGCACAATGAGCTCGTTGATGAAGTTAATGCCTAATTCTGTCTCCCCATTAGAATAGAACTTGCGCAAGATTGCAACAATCTGGAAGGAAGAAAAAAAACAAAAAAAACACTTAGTACCTTAAAGATTTTAACAAACGTTCTCAGAAAACAACTGAAAAAAAAAAAGCCAGGGTGACAACCACTGAAAGATTATCATTTTATGCACAACAAAAACTCTAGAATTCGGTGGCAGCTAAATTCACTCAGTTACACAGATGGCTCTTTTATCCTAGGTTCACATCTGTGTGGGTGGTGCCGCTGCGGATCCACACAAAAATCTGTGCAGCCACACCACCCGCACAGAGAAATGCGGACCCGTGGGCGGGTGCCATTAGTTCTAATGGCGCACCGCCCGCACTGGAAATCGCAACCGTACTGGGAACCGAGGTTCCCTTGTGGGCTGCATTTTCAGAGGAAGTGCAGGGACTTCTTACCTGCATGTCACGAGTACGGGAGTCCATTCAAATGAACCGAGGTTCCCATGCGGGCTGCATTTTCAGAGGAAGTGCAGGGACTTCTTCTCTGCATGTCACGAGCACGGGAGTACATTCAAATGAATGGGCTCTCGTGCCTGTGCAAAACACGACCTTCACGGCCGCATAGATGTGAACCGGGGGTTACAGAGAGTGAAGGCTTTGTCCAGTTTAAAAATATTTTAGATCCTTTAATATATTTAAGAAACGAAGCAAGTTTGCAAACATCTCCTCCCTCCTAGATTGTAAGCTCCAAGGAGGAGGGGCCTCTAATCCCTCTTGTATTGAACTGTATTGTTACCAGGGGCAGACTGACCATTTGTAAACTCGGGCACAGCCTGAGGGCCCGGGGTCAGTAGGGGGCCCCATGAGATGCCCCTGGTACCTTTTTCATAGGCTTTTTTGAGTTTGGGCAAGGACACAGGGGCCCCATGATCCCCTATTGCCCGGGGGCCCCATGAGTTGTCAGTCCGTCCCTGATTGTTACTGTACTGTCTCCCTCCATAATGTAAAGCACTGAGCAAACTGTTGGCGCTATATAAGCCCTGTATAATAATAATAATAATCTCCTGCTGTCATTTTAGAGCTGTATTAGGATCACCAAGGGTCCCACCATTTCTAACTGTCCTCTATCTTCTTATAAATCACCTGCAGACACAGAAAGGATAATTGCCAGATCAAAACTGACCAGTAAAGCAAGGGGTTTACACTTCAGGAGATGTTTGGAATACCGTCTTCAAATGCTGCAAATCATTGGCTGCATGTCTCTCCTCCTTCTATACCCACTATTCTTACCCCAGCCTCAGCGCATTTGCTTTGTATGCATGTCTAGGCACTTCACTAAAGACATGTGCTGTATAGAGATCATTAGGATGCACCAACTAAGTATAAGGCGCATCAGGCACAAGTCTGTACACAAGGACTTCAATCCAAATCAGTGTTACACTCTGCCATTCCGGATACTAACCCTACCTCTGCAATTCAATAGTCTAAGACAAAAACAGCAGGGGTCAGCAGAAGCTCTGGCTTTCACCTATGGACTTAGCAGCAGGAGAGGAAGGGCTTGCTGCAAAATTCAGCAGAAACGTAGTACTGGGAGTATAGCTTTGGTCATAAAATTCAGGAACATAATGCAAGACCTCAGCATCTACCAAAGTAGGAATTAAGCCTCACCACAGCTATGACATTTACCAGTCCAGTGCGAGGAGTGGTGGGGCTTAGTGCACTTCTTGATTGATAAACCAGGATGATTCCCTCTATAAGTAGCTCTATCACTGAGAGATGTTACTCGTTGTAGCTATTATTTGCTCTTGCCCGATACCACAGATCCTTCATTCCCATATTATAATCTTTTCACAATGATATGAAAACAAGTAAACAGTTTAAAAAAGAAATGATTATATAAACATATAGTTTTGAGTGCAACTTACCAGTTTGAAAGAGATCCACCTGACCTCGGACACTTTGTCAGAGCACAGCGTCAGTGCTATGACTCGCAAATAGTCATAGATGTCTTTGGGACTGTATAGTTCTAGGATGAGGATCAGTTGCCTGTAGAAAAAAACCCAAACATAGATTTACTCAGTGCATTTTCAGCAGTTCTCAGAGACAGCACCTCCTACTGGAGAGGATTCATCATTACAGCAAAGATGACCAGACCAGTATGCAGGCAGCCAGTGACGGTAAGTTCTGTTTAAAAGGCCCATCTGCAAAGTGCCAGTATGCCACTTACAGACAATTCTGTGTGTTCTGGATTTTTTCAAGTAAATTTAAAGGCATTTTAAAAATAAAAAGAGTCATTGGGGACTCTTAACCACTTGCCCTCCACTGATATTACCCCCCTTCCTGACTAGACCATTTTTTGCATTACGGCGCTGCGTTACTTTGACAATCGTGCGGTCATGCAACGATGCACCCAAATTAAATTTGCATTCTTTTTTTCCCACAAATTGACTTCTTTTGGTGGTATTTGATCGCCTGTGTGGTTTTTATTTTTTGCTCTATAAAAAAAAAAAAAAAAAAAAAACTGACAATTTTGAGAAAAAAAACAATATTTTTGACTTTTGCTATTAAACATGTCCTGTAAAAAATGTAAAAAATCTAATTTCGTCATAAATTTAAGCGAAAATGTATTCTGCTACATGTCTTTGCTAAAAAAAAATTCCAATACGTGCACATTAATTGGGTTACGTGAAAGTTACAGCGTTTACAAATGGCGGTATATGTACCGGGCTATTTTTTTTTTTTATATTTTTACTAGTAATAGCGGCGATCAGTGACTTATAGCGGGAATGCGGTGGGCATTCTGACACTGAGGGGAACTGACTTGATGTCACTGACACTGTACTAATGGAACTGGGCAGGAAGGGGTTAACATGAGGGGAGATCAAAGGGTTAACTGTGTGCTGTTTCACTATGTCCTGTGTCCCTGTGCTTCACTGTAATCACACTGCTTTGGATGGCTGTGCTGTGCACAGCCAAAGCAGTGTGCACGAGCCGTTGGAGATCCTCGGCAATCACCAGGCGCCGGCAAGTAATCACCAATAGGGACCTAGTGATTGACAGCCCCTGCTGTGAATGGCGGCGCAGGTAGGGTGCACGTACCCCCTATCCAGAAATGCAAAATCACGTATATATACGTGATTTTGCGCACCCGTGCCGCCATGTAGCAGTATTTCTGCTATAGGGCGGTTGGGAAGCAGTTAAAGACTGGGGGAGATCTGGTGCACTTACAGCGACCCTCTGGCCCTCCTCATATCATTATTGAATTAATTGTGCTGCAATAACCCAAAAACACAGAACAGAAAGCAGTATTACTTATCCCTCTTCTAGGAACACGTTAAATATAAAACACCACCTTTGTGAAAAATATATTATCAATATAACTTATATCTATGAATTGGTTTGTTTCTTTTTTTGTCTGTGCAGGCTTTTGAAGTGTTTACTGCCCAATGAAAATTTTGATTGCTGGAGATAATTATAAAACAATTCCCACATTAAATGTAGTCATCTGGACACATTACTGGCAAAAACACATTTGTTTATTTAAATTCCTTTTCATTGGGGAACATTGTCTTCCATTTCTTCTATTTATCACACAGACATAGCTGTAGCGCACTATTTCACCTCATTGCTACAAAAATAAAATAAAATCTTTGCTACTAATAATCTCATCTTCTGGGACCACCAACTGCAGAGTCATGTGGGAATGCAGGGCAGGTATTCCCAATAACTGTATGTTTTAGATGTTTCTTGGAGATGCACTTTTATGCCCCTTATTTATTCCTACAGAACATTCCCATATAATGCGATTGGCACTCACTCTGCTAATTCATATCGGAACCTCCAGTTGCGGATGTTGTCAGTGGTCAGGAACTCCTGTAGTTGGTAGAGGTAATCTCGCCTCATGTCTGCGTGGAGGAGCTTCAGAGACACAGAGAATTCATTCACAATCATCGCTTCAATTTGTCACACATTGCAGGGAATGTACAGCACAGATCTACACTAAACTATAGCTTAAAGGCATAGTCCACCTTTCTAATTTTTTTTTTAAAATTGAATAAATGCACAAACAATGAATTATTTAAAACAAGCGCATTTATGAATATTGCATTCAAGCATGAAGACCACTACAACCACGATCAATGCTTCTCTGGTGCAGCTCACAGGTTCCTGCATTGTTTCCCCCCAGCCCCAGGTCTGTATGGAGGTACAGGCCTTCAGTTGTGGGGCTGATCAAGGGACTACAAGTGCAAAGACATCACCACCCTACTGCTAGTGCAATCACCTGAGCCTGTCTTTCATAGTGACAGATGGAACTTATCGTATTCTGATTCACCAACCTGTGCACAGCCGTGCTGAATTCAAATAACTACAACCTAGATAAAGAAGCACCCCATAATTGAGGGGTTCGGGGTGTAACATGAAACACAGTATCCAACGTGGACTATGCTTTTAAATCCAGAGTCATTTAGAATATCTTTTCTAGCAATCAGTGTCCTAAAGGGACCCTGTGAGCTCTTTAAATGAGTTAGAAGTACAACACTGATGTAGGTATCCGTTTGCTCACATACCTCAGTGCATGGCTTTAGCAGCCACAAAGCCATCGGCTACACAAACAGCAACTTTAGGAAACTAAAGTCATGCTTGGTCCTGCCCCTTCTTGAACCTCCCTGTAAACCCATAAGTAAAATATATGTCTATATGGGCCAGTATGGAAGAAATGGCACTAGTTCCCCAAGTTACTTTTTGAATATGAAATAACTCGGACTCTGGTGAGGGAAAATCTCCAATGGGGTCACAGAGAGATTCAAAAAAGCTAAACGAAAATGATTAAAATAGATTGTTTCTGCGGGGACGTCTTACACATTTGGTGGTCATGCCCACGATTGACAGGCTTCTGGTCTAGAGTTTTTGGCTTGCTACAAATGCTATTTCACATTACAGTCCGTAGGGATGCAAGGGTGGCCCTTCTGCACTGCCCAATTTTGGGTCTGTCCAGATCTCAGCAGAAATTGGCATCCTATCTATTTACTTCGGCCAAACATGCCATAGCTCTAGCTTGGAGAACCCCTTCGGTTGTCTTCCAAGGGGTGAAGACCCGGATGAATGATATGTTGATCAATGAACAGATGTCTGGCATTCTTCATGATTCTCATCCGAGATTCCTTAAGGTTTGGGAACCTTGGATACGATATTCTTTGCCATCCCTGCCCCCTACTAGTTATGGCCTCTTGTAGTTGCTGCCTGTGCTAGCCCTGGATCCGTGATTCTCCTAGTCTCCCTTTCCTCTATGTTTTCTTTCTGATTTCTTTTTTTTTTTTCTCCTTTCTTCTAACCTTTTTTCTTTCCTCTTCTCTTTATGGTATTATCTTGGACTACTCCTGATAATATTTGGTTCGGCTTTTTGCCATCCTCCCTTGCTGTCATTGGACATTTTGTTATTTGGCTAATACAAGTCAGCAGGATGTATCTGTTTCTGTGTTATTGTTAGCGCGGCCACTGCGTGGGCGTATATTGAGCTTGTTGTGTTCCTAAAACAAAACTTTCTTAATAAAAATATTGAAACAGAAAATAGATTGTTTCTGTCCGAGTCAAAGAAAGAGAAGAGGATACTCTTCAGTTGAGTCTAAAGTTCTAAAGTACCCATAAAAAAAATAAATTTCCTCCACACCCCTGACACAGCTGTAACATGCTGTTTCTGGCTTTTCAGCTGAGCTACTGTTATCACTGAACCAAAGTTCCATCTATATTCCCTTAACGAGTATATTAATGGGTGACAGATCTAGAACACTGTATTATCATCCTTCTGATGAACTCAGCATCATTACAGCATTGAAAACAGAGGATTTCATGTGAAGAACTACTTATTGGGTGCAGTACCATGCCATATTCTTTCTTCCCATCTTACTTCAAGCAGTGTGACACTCCACCACAATCTGCTAGTGTAAGATTTTAATTTGTACACATTACCTTAAGAAAGTCATACAAATGCTTTAAGACCCCAATGCGCACTTCATCCAAGTCTTTTAGGAAGCCGTTGAAAATAGGGACCAGATCAGCAGCTGTAAGCTTATCCCCAAGAATGACTGCCAGTTCATGGATGGAAAATGCAAGCGTTCTTCGTACCTTCCACTGAAAAGACAGGCAGGACATGACTATATCAATAACGTATTTTTGCCTACAATGTGCTAATTTACAGAACCCATGATGCTAATACTAGAACTGATTTGGGTAGTATGATTAAATGGTCAGCTTGAATTCCTCCCTGATCCATAAGCAGCCAAAGATGGTACAAACCTGGGGAAGGAGCTGTTTTGTCTAAGTGTCCAGCTTCCTAGGTGAAACTAATATCCCTCAGCAATGCTGGATCATCCAAAAAATGACTAAAGGATTTCTCTTCAATTCACTGCTACACAGCAACATATTTCATTTTATAGTATGGGTTTAAATACGAATATATCTATCTTCAATATACAAGTTAATAATGGAAGAATACTGTAATGTCCATAGATAAGTGGTCTGGCACAGCAAAGGCCATGTGATGAAGCAAACCTAAACGAGTATTGGGGCTGCCATTGATGATCTCTTTAGAAAATGCCAGATAACTGTCAGTCAATCTGATCCAAAGGCTTCGGTATTTACTAAGACCAGTTTCACATGGGCATTCCGATCAGGTTCACCTGTCAGTTTTTTAGGTGGACCTGATCGTAAGCTCCATGAAGCCCTATAGGCTCGTGTCTGTTTATGCCCAGCTACCTCCAGATTGATCCAGGTCTGGAAAAAAAAAAAAACAGAAAAGGTCTAGATCAGAGGTAGCCCAATGTAAAAATGGAAAGCGGAGTTCCTTTATACCCCGGCTGCCCATATAGCCTCTGCCTGTAACCACTCTGCACACAGATGTGACATCCTTCCTGCTCTGGCTCCGATCCATCAGGGGATCTGCTCACAGATCCCCTTCTGATTGGAGCGGACTCCACTCCATATAGAAGAGCCGTAAGGCTTTGACTTTCCTGTGACTCAAAATCCTTAGAAAATCCCACAGTTACAGATAGCCAGGGACATAGTATTTTATAGGGTGGTAGGGCGGTGCTGGTATAGGAGGTGGGCAATGACTCTATCTTTCAAGGGAATCCAGTGAATGGAGCTTTACTTTTGAGGCCAGCCATGTTTTGGAGAAACTCTGTGCTATAATCTGTATATATCCCAATAAAGTCAGGCATGTGACATCTGGGCTTTCAGCAAACATCTATCATGGGGAATGGATCTATCATGGGGAATGGTTAGTGACAATTTGCAACACTCACCTATTTTTTTCCCTCTTACTGAAAAAAAATAAATAATTGAAACTACATAATTCATACCTGGACATCAGCTGCCAGTGTTTCGTATGTGTCTTTCAGAAAATGCCAGTTTTGTCTCCCCAGTGTCAGGGCCACTCCTGGCAGGCTGTAAGCGCAGTGCTTAGTGATTTCTGTATCCACTGTCTGGGCCCGGACAGGGTCAGTCATGGAGAGGTACTGGTCGAGCAGTGGCTGTGGTACAACATCCTGCAGTAATGTGGAGCAAATGTTAGTGATGTTTTATTTGTGAGAGCCAAAAAACTGACAGTAGGATACAAGAGAGCAATATAACTTCTACAGTACAGGATAAATAGCACCGTGTTACCGCCATAATATCCAAATATCACTTGTCACCAGTGCACTGCTGTCATTCAAGACGATTTATATCTGAAGAGATCTCTCCACAGGCCAGAGAGAGGGAGCCAGTAGGACAATATACCTACCAATATCTATCTAAAACTAAACTATCAGTTTTGAGAAGAGCTTCTCTTTACATTTTTAAAGGCATAAATGACACCCAACAACAGTACTTTTTTCAGGTCGGTGTGATTTATGGTGTGTGCTGAAAAATCTGTCTGTGGGTTTGTGAAGATAGCCTGTCACTAGACCATTCATGTCAACAACATTCTCCCCAAAAATTATATGTACATTTCAGATATTTGATGCATATTATTTACTTGTACAAGCCTCCCTTGTACAGACATATTAAATTCCTGAGACTGCTGCTGGGCACAGCCATCGTGGACGTGATGTAAGCAGCCCTAGCAGACTCAGCTATTACTCAAATGACATTCAAAAGTATTCCCCTGCAGGCCACCCCTGGCAACTACATATAAGGTCATGTATGAAGGTGAGAGAAGGAATGGAGGAGCTGGGCCAGCATAGGAAATAATTAGACACTCCCAGAAGAGGAGGGGGCTGTTCCTTGGTACTTGATTTTTCTGTGCTTTTACCTGCAATTTTTTTTAATGTAGTGACAGGACCTCGTTAATGACATCTGGGGATTACGTAAACTTCACTACATCAGTTTTCGGTGAGTACTGAGAGGAATCACAAATGTACATTTCAAAATGTCACCTAAATTCTGACACTGTCTACACATTGTCTCTTGGAATTTTTAACATGTCTCTACTTGTGCTTTGCAAAAGGACTTTTTGGAAGGTATACCCATTGACTTGAATGAAAATGGTCTATTTAAAGCAGTACAGCCAAAGCTCTTATGGCTGTACTTCTCATGTGGATCACATGAGTGCACTTTGTTCTGCACTCATGTGACCCGTTTTCATCTGACAGTGGAATGAGGTCCGCTGTTGGCTGACATCAGCCAGTCCAGGCTGGGGAAAGATCCCGACATTAAAGTCAGGAACTACCCCAGAGTCTGGAGCGGCACCAGGCTCAACCTCTTAGTGAAGCGCTGAGAGCCTGAGCCAGCCTCTCCCTCCCACTCCATGATCCAGTGCTCCAATGAGCACTGGGGGGGCTGAGCAGACAGCAGTGACTGACAGTCCCACTCTCTGCACAGAGTGGAGAGAACGCCGCAATCAGCGGTCATATCGTTGCTAGGTTCTCACCCTTAGGCTGGCCATACATTATACAATTTTTTCTTGAGATTTATGGTTTAGATTTACCAAAAACCATATAATGTGAGGTCAAACCTAACAACACTTTCAATTGTATCCAATTAGGCGGGCTCTTGTACTACATAGTTGAAGGTAAATCTAAAGGAAATTGGGCAGAAATTGGACAGAAAATTGTACAGTGTATGGCCAGCCTTAGAGCTGATGGGTGACAGATGCTGCATCCACCTAGGCAAGTGTAAGTAGGGAAATAAAATCCCTACTTCTCTTTTAATCCAATTTCGTGCATTCGCACACGATTATGTGCATTTGCATTGTAGAAAAATGCAGCACTACATTACAATAGTATAAACTATGCCCATTGCCCCTAAAGGTAATTAATTCCATAACATCCCCCCAACCCACCGATATCTCCTCTTATATGCTCTTTAACCCACAAGGACTGGGTTTACAGGTCTGTAATGGATCAATGGAGGGGTGGGGAAGGAAGATGAGTATCAGCGGGAAGTGAGTTGCACTTACAAGGAACCTGTCACTTTTAGAGTACATTCTCTTTAAACAACACTTGATTTTCAAATGGCCGCAAAGCCCGTATTGTTAATGACTTATCCTCCCTTCATGTTATATGACGCTTACCCAGGGAACTCTTTACAGTTACTCTAGTAAAGGAGCAGAAACAGGTAGCTTACTGTGAAGGAAAGAAATATTTCTCATCCAATACGGGAGTGTCGGTGACACACTGACCTGTACTCTACACTGCTCCTCCTCTTCCTCGTTCATTGTGTCTTCCTCTTCCTGTACAGAGTCATTAGAAACCGAAGTCTCATTTTCTGGAATCTGATATGCAGAAAACAAGAAAAGAATAAAAGATATAGATTTAGTGCAACAAGTACTGTCAGTGTTGAGGCTCTACCAAAAAGAACTTGCTTTTCACTGTCCCACTGCAGAATAAGATGCTAAGGGTTGAACTGCAATAACTGCCATCATTTTTCACAAAGCTTTTTAAAGGGATTTATTTACAGTCCGTGTTCCTTTGGGGAGATTCACCCTCATTTCCTGTCTAGAAAGGCAGTAATGGGAAAACTCTCCAGTATGGACACATACTGCAAAGACAACCTTTTATTCAGTAAAATGTGGCATATGCAGGGGTGGACTGACAACTCATGGGGCCCCCGGGCAATAAGGGATCATGGGGCCCCTGTGTCCTCGCCCACACTCAAACCACACCCAAAAAAGCCTATGAAAGGTACCAGGGACATCTCATGGGGCCCCCTACTGACCCTGGGCCCTCGGGCAGTGCCCGAGTTCCCCAATGGTCAGTCCACCACTGGTCTATGGGCATTCCCTCCTGTTCCATTATTGTCTATGGGCATTCCCTCCTTTATGCCCTTCTGTTCCATTATTCTCTATGGGCATTCCCTCCTGCTCCATTATTCTCTATGGGCATTCCCTCCTGCTCCATTATTCTCTATGGGCATTCCCTCCTGTTCCATTATTCTCTATGGGCATTTCCTGTTCCATTATTCTCTATGGGCATTTCACTGCCCTGGTAACGTCTATGGGCATTTCACTGCCTTGGTAAAGTCTATGGGCATTTCACTGCCCTGGTAAAGTCTATGGGCATTTCACTGCCCTGGTAAAGTCTATGGGCATTTCACTGCCCTGGAAAAGTCTATGGGCATTTCACTGCCCTGGTAAAGTCTATGGGCATTCGATTGTGCCATTCGTTTTAGTATGTCCCCGAGTAGGTCCATGTGTCCTGAGTCCATCCAGGTCCCATACAGTCCCCCCAGGGTGACGTGTGCAGTCAGTAGGTGCTGATCTCGGTGTGAGGTCCCCTGCGATCATTAGCACTCACACATGACAGGGGTGGACTGACAACTCATGGGGCCCCGGGCAATAGGGGATCATGGGGCCCCTGTGTCCTAGCCCACACTCAAACTACACCCAAAAAAGCCTATGAAAGGTACCAGGGACATCTCATGGGGCCCCCTACTGATCCCAGTTCCCCAATGGTCAGTCTGCCCCTGGGCGTATGAAAACTTTTGTCAGGTTATTATAACTGTTTGTATCTTCCTGTCCTACTGTCACAGGGACAGGATATAAGAAGAAATCACAGACAGCAGTGAAATATTAGTAGAAGAATGTAATAGACCCTGGGACAATCCAGTCCTCTTCTCCTGACATGCTCATCCCCTATTCACAAAATGCTGGCCATTTCCCCATCAGTGACAATCACAAGCTGTAAGCCCTGGTTCATATATCTGCGGCGGTGCGGGCTGCAATTTGCGCGGACACGAGAGCCCATTCATTTGAATGGACTCCCATGCCCCAGGACACGCAGGGAAGAAGTCCCTGCACTTCTTTGGAAACCGCAGCCCACGCGGGAACCTCGGTTCCCAGTGCGGTTGCGATTTCCAGTGTGGGCGGCGTGCCACTAGAAGTAATGGCACCTGCTCACGGGTCCGCATTCTTCTGTGTGGGTGGTGCGGCTGCACGGATTTTTGTGCGGATCCGCAGCAGCACCACCCACACATATGTGAACCTAGCCTAAAGGTTACCAGGCAGGTGGTCATTTTCTGTACAGAATTTGACATTCCATAGCCTGTCTAAATCTTTCATAAATAAGAAACAACAAGCAGAGAGGTCCAGCAACTTTATTCTTTATAATTTGAGAATACCCAGAGCATTCATAAATATCAGGTTTGAAATTGAAGTGAATAAGGCCACTTTTCTGAACACTGTACAACAGGTCACAGATACACACTTGGATTCTAAAAACATCAGGGGTATAATTTGAGAAGTACCCAGAGCATTTCGGGGGTCCTAGTGCACACCTTTCATCAGGGCTTGACTGGCAATAAAGTGAATAAGGCCCTCTTTTCTGAACACTGTACGAACAACACACACCAGAAAACACACACATGGATGGACGAACAAAGACACACAGAACACACCATGGACGAACAAAGACACACAGAACACACCATGGACGAACAAAGACACACAGAACACACACAGAACACAGAACACACCATGGACGAACAAAGACACACAGAACACACCATGGACGAACAAGAGACACACAGAAACACACACATGGACGAACAAAGACACACAGAACACACCATGGACGAACACACACAGAACACACCATGGACGAACAAAGACACACACACACCATGGACGAACAAAGACACACAGAACACACCATGGACGAACAAAGACACATGAACACACAATGGACGAACAAAGACACACAGAACACACCATGGACGAACAAAGACACACAGAACACACCATGGACGAACAAAGACACATGGACAACAAAGACACACAGAACACACCATGGACGAATAAAGACACACAGAACACACCATGGACGAACAAAGACACACAGAACACACCATGGACGAACAAAGACACACATACACAGGAACAGTCTGCTAGCAGACAACATTCACACACAGGAAAAGTCTGCTGACAGGCGACACTCACTGGGTCTTCAGAGGGGGCTGTCTGCTCTGAATGAGCCTCTTCCTCTGTATTTGGGCATGCAGTGCAGGTTGTAGGTTCCGGCTCCTCAATTGGCTGTTTGTCCTCTTCTTGAGGTGAAGAATCCAGCTCAGCCGCCCGCAGAGCTGCAGACAGAACCTCAACCTGGGCTGGGGTACAACATAGAGAGTAAATCACCATTATCAACTAAAACAAACTAAACCTGCTTGTGAAAGTATAGCATAAAAGGATAAGTCTAGCCCTATATCAGGTTACATAGTTTTGGGGAACACTTTCGGGGCTGTTCATCACCCCTGTTCAATTCCTATCAAAAATCAGCCCAAGGAGGGGACAGTAGTGGCTGCAGCCATTCAAGCCATGCGATGGCTGTAGTGGGAAGTTGCGAGGTGATCTTCTTCCAACCACAAATCAAGACAGCCTGTTATTATAGCTGCCAACATGTTTCTTTCAACTTTCTAGGTGGCAGTTCAACTGAAATGTCAGTTATGTGTGGATGCAAACAGACTGATAAACTCGTAGTGAATACAGAGATGGAAATTGATTTTCAAATCAGGCAAGGCAAACTTTCAAGCACTAGTCTGCTTGAATACACAGATGCTGGCTTGTCCAATTTGACTCCTTGGATTCATCTGTGCCATTCATGTCTGTTCCTTATATCAATCATATATTGGTGAATCAGAGTTCCCAGCTCTACCCCCTTGTCCCAGCCACTGCAATGAGAACTTGCTTAGCTGACAAGTATTAATGGAGGAGGAAGACTTCATAGTGTAGGAGGAGCTGGGAACTCCAGGGTGGAGGTTTTTCCACTAGAATGACCAACAGACAAAAGAAGCCTTTGGGTCATTCAGTACGACTGCATTCACTCATTACTGAAATGTCCATATTCTACAGACTTGCCCTTCAATCCCCTGAAGGGTAATATAATAAAAACTCATCCTTTTGCCATTCACACAGTATCCCTGGTCCAAAATTACAATGCAGTTTACCTTGTACATCAGGATCATCCAGGTGTCCCTGTAAACTCTGCAGCACTTTCTCTATGTCCCTGCTGGCCAGACACGATTTAGGAACAGCGCTGAGATCTGGTTCCATTGGAGATTCTACAGGAAGCAGCTCCAGTTCCTCACTGATGTCAGGCAGTGGGCTCCTCCAGAACAGGAAAGAGTTAAAGGCATCGGGTTGGCGCCCCTCTCCGGAGACACTGCTGCCTTGGGGTCTCCTGCTGGGGTTCCCATCATCCTCTAGAGTGGAGATGCCTGTGATATTGTCCATGGGAGATGCCTGTGGGTCCTTGCTGCTGTTGGTCTGGCTGGGTGCTATGTTCGCACACTTTGCAGGGCTATGAATATGTACACAACAAATGACATTTACACCAGACATTTTACATAAGCCACAACTGTCATCAAATTACGAGTTCAGCATAGCCTAGGGAAAATATATTTTCAGAGTAATATTTTATTGTTTACTAGAAAGTAAGCAACTGTTTGATAAATACATTTTTTTGTGGTTGCTTTTCCATATTTCATGGTAGCAATGTATATGCACTCTAGTGGTTATATATTTTATATATATATATATACTATATATATATATATATATATATATATATATATATATATATATATATATATATATATATATATATATATATATATATATATATATATAAAAAAAAAAAAAAAAAAAAAGAAACCTGCAGACATTTCCCTAGTTTGCGCTCCAGCACCAGGAAGCATGGCCAGCGTGCATTCCACGAATAGGAAGCACACAGTTCAGTTAATTTTGACAGTGTACCCCAAATAATAATTGGCAGTGGCCACTGTTTCCCATTATTACTATCCCATGTAAACGCTCATCTTCATGAGCCAGTAGCTCATAATCCACTCCATTAGATGCCCTTAAAGATCGTCACTGACTGGCCCCACACATTGATGGTAAGCAGTCATTGGCCAGAAACGGAGGGGTAGATGAGTACCTCAATATATAAGCCCCTTTGATGATGTGGAAAGAGATTATATATATATATATATATATATATATATACTCCATCCCTCCTCTCCCCACCCCCCTGATGGTAGGTGGGTTGTGGGATCCACATATGTTATTTAAGGAGTTTGAGTTCTGCCTTTGATCTGAGCAAGAGGGCAGGGTCCCCGAAAAGCGTCAGCCGTCAACACCATCTTGTCTCCAATTGGATAGCAGTCCACATTGTGTGCTTATGCAATCACATGCCAATAGCTCACTTGGTTTGTGAGTATAACCTCTGCCTCCTATTTCTTAATAAATAGTTTTTGAGGTAACGCACCAGGCGTTTGCGCCCTCTTTGTTTTTATGTTTTTGTGTAGTGTTGGGTTTCCCTGGTCTGAGGAGGGCTGCATTGTCATTTCTTTCCAGTCCTGGTTGTGAAAGGTCTATGGGATCTTACCAACAGTGTCCATTTCTGAGCGTCGAGTGTCAAGTTTAACTATTTCTTCACATGCAGGTCATACAGAGCATGATCTCTAAATGTTCACCCTTACAACTCCCTTGAAAGTGAACCTAAAAGGGTCAACCTACCCATACATTATATTTTAATAATAAAAGTGGTTGGAGTTAGCCCCTGGATTCCCTTATGTCCCTTCCTCATACCCCTTAATATTCTAATAGTGAGATCTCCTGTCATAGTTCCTGACTCTGCGCCTGTCGACTTGTGAGTATTGGATGTCCCCACCTTGCTTTGTGTGTTTCTCTGGTTACATTCCCTATTAAATAAAATCAAGTAGAGAGCAGGGGCGGACTGACCACTGGAACAGTCGGGCACTGCCCGAGTGCCCTGGGTCAGTAGGGGGCCCCATGAGATGCCCCTGGTACCTTTTTATAGGCTTTTTTTGAGTGTGGGCAAGGACATAGGGGCCCCATGAGTTGTCAGTCCGCCCCTGGTAGAGAGATTAGGAACCTGGGATGTAGACTTGACATATCATTGTATATATATCTTACCAACACATTTTTCAAGAAATACAGAGAACGTAAGTTGGTTTAACTCTCTAACATCTACCAAATGTCAAAAAGTCAGTTTTTGGTGAACTGTCATTATAGAATGATGGAGCCTGCAACTACCCTGTCTTTCCTGAAAATGCTTGCTCGCTGGCTCTCTTTGATTTTGGTACTCTCAGAGCCACTGGCTGAAATAAAAGTCTATCAGGGTTGTGATGCCTAGGTCAGTGACTCAGAAAGCATAGAAGCCAGCCCCTTCAGAAGTAACAGGGTCACAAATGTCCTATGTTCCTTGTACTGAACACAATCCTTGCACAATAAAAGGCTCTGATGCAATGCACGTTGCAGTATTGCATGTCACAGGCAGGTGCCACTATATATAAACCAAACCATTCTCAGAACAAACCAGCCTTTTTGGTTATTGTCGGTATTACCCGGGTCTCAGCCTATGACACCTACACAGGGTTACTTTAAATTACCTTAGCAGTGTTTTCTACATTTATTTTCTCTGTCAAAAAACAAACATAAATTTTTTTTGGCTGGAGTTGGGCTTTAAAGTGACCCTGTCACCACGGTCACTTCTACAAATGAGGAAGTCTGTTATAGAAGAGGCAGTACACTTTTATTTCCAGTGCTGTGTGTTGAAAAGCCACGTATACTCTTGCTTTCCAAATGCTGCAAATATTTTACACTTCTGGATGCGTAGAATACCTCCTACCATGACATATGCTGTGCGGGGGGAGCAGGTATTTGATGACCCACCCGAAGTGTTGAATACCTTCAGCAGTAGGTCATCAAAATATAGGTCAGCAGAAATATTGCCTCTTCTATTATAGGATTCCTTGTTTGAGTGGATTTAGACTTGATTGACAGTTCGAATTTCTCATGTTCAGCCTGCAGGCTAAACAAGATAAAATCAACTAACACCACCATACACACTAGCAGCTTGGAAAGAGGAATCTCCACTGCTGTCTATTGAATCCCAGGCAGCCACAACACCCACGGATGCCTGAGTATGACACTTACAAAGAGAGACTGCAACCGGCTAAGCCTCGTTTTCAATTGACTTTTGTTGAGCCAGGGGGACCTTAAGACTTGATTTGAGTCTTTTCAGATTAGAACCGGTTAGAATAAAAACGGTAAAATGTACGTTTTAGATACACTTTAGAGGAAAAGGGGCTTTACACACACTTGACCATTACAAGTACCAGCTAGCTATATAATGGCTACTGTTTCTCCTTGGCTGCCTGCCAGTTAGTGGCATCAGCATATAGAATTAAAAATCCACTACAGGGTCAGTGAACTTCAGCTGTATAACCTCTCATGTATAACTGCACTAGGGTGACTGCCACTTGCCTTGGTGACAGGTCATACCTAGAGCTGTCCTGAGTGTCCTCTGCAGGAGGTCGGATGCTTAGTGTCCCATCCTCCTTCACGTATAATCCTGCTGTGGATGGGTTGGCGAAGGTGGAGATAAAAGGACCCAGAGACTGGAAGGCAGTCTGTCGTACCTGTAATGCAGATCATATCATCTGTTAATGTCTGTGCCAGGAGAACATAGAGAAATTACTCAGTACTCTACTGATAATGGAAGCTAAAACAGGAACTGTCACAAGACCAAAAGCCAACAGCCCCTCTTTCAATGTGGTGAAGGTATATAAAGGCGGTATTAGGAAGCTATGTTTATGTAACCTGAACAAAGATAAGAAATGCTACAGCGAGGAATGGGGAAACTTACCCATCGGCAGGGGTCACTGATAAAGGTTTATGAAAAGAGGGGAAAGCTTGGTCCGTCGCACCTCACTTGACGTTGTGTAAGACACGGCCATGAAACACTCGGCACACACTTTGCGCATCCCCCAGGCACTGTCAGAACACAACTCCAGAAACTTGGGGATCTGCAGAAACAAACATCAACACTTAGAACAGCTTTCTAATGACATTTGGAAAACAAATTTTATATTTCAAATTGTTTATTAAATGAGCAGTACAAAAGAAAAAAGTCCTCCACAGAGATCATTTCCACAAAATAAAAACAGGGGACATTGCAAATGAAAAATATACAAGAAGAAAGAAGTAAAACAAATTTTAAAGCAAAAAAATGTAGCATGATTCGGGTCAATTGGTGATGTAAAAATTTGAAATGCTAGACTAAAAAAGAATGAGATGCACTGTAAAGGAAATAAGTGTACATTTTAAGTAATATTAATTTTCTGCTACTGATGCGAAATAAAATCTATTATATTATCCTATTTTGTTTAACTCCTCGTAAGAACTCACAAAATGGTAGATTCAGCAAAGGCATAAACTACCTTTTTTCAAATATAAAACAGCGCAAAACACAAACTGCCTCACACCAATCAATATGTGAGCAATAATAAATAACCTATTCACTAAATAATATTATTGATAAAATTTATCAATAATATTATTTAGTGAATAAGTTATTTATTATTGCTCACTTATATTGATTGGTGTGAGGCAGTTTGTGTTTTGCGCTGTTTTATATTTGAAAAATTATTTTGGTTTTTATACCTGTGCACAGTGGCATTTCACTTAAAGAGTGTGATAGTAAATTGGTCCTGGGCGCTGAGGTTTTTCTATTTGCAATAAACTACCTTTTGCTAAAATTGTATAAATTCACTCACGTTAATAAATATGCATTTATTAAATTTTTGCATTGAAGCCTGCAGAGCACCGCAACTATGATTAGTGTGTTACGGGTGCATTGCACAGGCTCCTGCACTGTTCACTCCTCAGCCTCAGGTCCATATGGAGTTACAGACCTTCTGTTTTGGGGCTATAAGAAGTAAATAATGGACTACAACTTAGAATAACATCAGATTAAAAGGACTCTCCGCTTCAAGCTACTGCTTCTCAGCGCCACTCAAACTCTAGGTGCAGGAAGATGACGGAACCATCCGCTTTAACTGGAAGTGAAAGAAAAGGCTGGCACACACTGGATAGGTCACAAGTGTCCACGTTTATTGTAGACACCATTCACAGACATGGCAATGGTAGGCCCAACCCTAGGACCACCCGTCTATTGTGCTTTACCCTATCAGGGGTTATTGATAGAAATGGACTACAATTGCGGATATGTCACTGCAGTTGCGCCTGTGCGCCCACACTCTGTGAGTTCTTTTGCCACAGTCTTCCCATTCACAGATGCCAGTAAGTGTGAATGGAGAATGTTCCATGAAGAATGACTCCACATTTCTGGTAAGTGAGGGGTGATGGGGAATCTGCAAGTCGCACCTGAAATCACAAAAACTAGTGCAGGTACTTTCGGGAGTCGCACCGATTTGAACGGTTCCATTGGAAACAATAGGGTGCAACTTGTCATGCGATTTGAAACTGTAAAATCGCATGACAAGTCGCATCGGTGTGAACCAGGGTTTATGTTACACCCTAAATATGTGTATAACACAAAACATGGTCAAAAGGGAAGTCTTTAAGAGGTAAGGAGCCACTCATACAATATGTTATCATGCACAAGGAAAGGCATTTATGTTTTATAGCCAAGACAAAAAAACACGACCTGGGATCCAGAACTAATCTTACCAAAAATTTCTCGGTAGCTTCTTGGCCAACTGCATTGCACACGTCACCAAAGTTTGCTGCGCAAACCTGAAAAGGATATACAACATTTTTAAAGGTCATCCCCACAGATCAGCCTTAACCATTGAGATTCTGACAGTCACATCGTGCCATAAAAATGCAAAATTTAGTTATTTCTTTTTATTAGAGAGGGAGGGCTTCCTACACAGAAGTTAACAACACACACATGATTGAATCAATCCTACAAACATCAGCAGCTGAATTTTGTCCACATTTTGACAAACATAAACCGGGTTCAAACACAATATTGATGCACAGAAATCACATCCCATACCCTAATGCAGGCCATACATGGGTCAAATTCCGAATAATTGTTCGACCAAAAATCGAAAACGACGTTCGCGCCTCAGTAATCCGATGGTGCCATCAATGATTTCGAAAATTGGCCAACCAAATCAATACGTTCACCCCATATAACAGGTGAAACTTCTGTTCCTTCCAGGTCACGGCTCATGCGCATATTCTTTTCGGAAAAAACGATCGTACGATTTGACCATCTCTGAGTCGAAAATCAGTAGTTTTTTACAATTTTCCAACATGCCCGATCACCGAAAAGGGGAGGAACCACAAAAATCGGCCGGTGCCATTGCCACTAACAAAGCAAAAATCAGCCGATTATTCTTAGGTCCGATTTTTGGACATTAGGCCCCTTTCCTACGAAAGATCTGATAAGGACCGCCTATCAGTTTTTCAGGCCGACCTGATCGGATGGTCTATTCACCCCTATGGACCAGCAGGCATAAACAGACTTGTGTCTGTTTACACCTGCCTACCTCTGGTCTGATCCAGTCTGCAAAAAAAAATTCAAAAGGAGATCTGTCCCCTTCTATCTAGGCAGATCAAGTCAGAGGGTAGTTGGGTGTAAACAGACAGTGGCATCCACTTACTTCTGGCTGCCCATAGAGTGGAGCTGGTTTTGTCAGTGTCTGCTCCGCAGAAACTGAGTGGACACTGACCTGTCATCCGCCCGCTCTGCTCAGATCAGCAGACAGATCCCTTGCTGATCAAAACGGAGACCACCCCGTAAAAAAAAAGGCTTTAAACATCATGCCCCCTTTTTTGTCATACCTTGCGGACTTGGAAGAGCTTGCTGTCGCTGCAGAGGTCACAGAAGCGCGGCAGTAACATCTGTTCCGCAGTTTGCCTACCGAGCATGGAGATCATCTTACAAATAATCTGGGAGGAAGAGAGAAAAGGTTTATTCCACAGGCCAATCTAGTCAACATAGAATAAGTGATACATTTTTGGCTTATTTGAGTCTTTTTATCTGTAAAGAAAAGCGTGGCGATAATGTTGCAGAATGACATCATAATTAGATCTAGAACCTTATTACTATTAAGACCCTGCTTCCTTTTCCCAGACCCACATAAAGGGCTAAACTGGGCTAGATGATCAGCTTACATTGGAGCCCTTTCTCTAACATGTGAGGCAGCTACTGTTTACATGGGCTTTACGTGTTATGTCAACTAAAAAAAAAAAAAAAAAAAAACACGGGTTGGGGCTAACCTCTTTAGCTTTACAGCCTGTGTCCCAAAAATATACGTTATCTGCGCTAAATGCGATAAACAGGACTGGTCAATGGTCATACTGAAATGAGCATTAGTCCTCATGCACACTGGAACGTTTTTCCAGCTGCTGCTTCTGGCTTTTAGTGCTTTTTTTCTACAGCCAGTAAACTCCCCAGCATGTTATCCTATGGCTCCATGCACACATAGTCTTTAAAGTTCCACCTGAAAAAAAATAAATAAAAGTCAGCAGCTACAAAAAACTGTAGCTGCTGACTTTTAAAATACAGACACTTACCTGTCCCTTGGTTCAGTGGTGTCCTCATCACCGATGGTTTCACCGGCCGTCCTCTCTCCCTGGCACCTCCAGTGTGGGCTCCCGGCTGTGACAGCTTGCAGCTTCACAGCTGGGTGCCCACTGCGCATGTGCGAGAAGCGCTTCACTTTGTGAATGGCCCCATAGTCTTCTGGGACCTGTCACGTGTCCCACAAGACAATGGGACCTGTCACATGTCCCACAAGACTATGGGGAGGGAGGGGGGAGGACAACTTCCGCTTCCTATTACCTAGGCGATCGTAGCAGAAATGGGAGCGAGTATCTGTCAAATTCAGTACCCCGCTCCCCCCCCTGCTCCCCAAAGGTGCCAATCCTTAATGGGGAGTGGGAGACAAAGGCTTAAAGCGGAACTTCCCCTTTTGGATGGATTCTGCTTTAATCAGCGTTTTTTGGCTGTAAAAAAAAAAAACAGAACTAGTGGGTTTCTAGAGGAGTTATTTAGCTGTAAAAACGTTGGGAAAAAAGCAGCAAACTGGCATTTTTTTGAGCAACAAATTGTTTTTTTTTTTTTTTTTACTGCTACCGCGTAAAAAACGTGATTGATGTGTTTTTCAGACGTTCCTCTTTATAAAGTCACATGGCCATTCTGTCTGTATGAGAGATTTTATCTCATGTCCATTCCTTCTCTGTGAATGGGGCTAAAACACCAATACAAAACCGCTAAAAACTGCTGAAAAACTCCCATTTTTAAACGCAACTTTACACAGCTAATACTGCCGGCGTTATTAAAGCTCCCCGTGTGCATGGAGCCTGACAGCTGCATTTACACTTACAAATATTAAAGAGCAACTCTTACATGGCCACACCATGGCTACTAAACGTAGCTTTCCATTTATGTTATTATTCCAAACGTTCTTCTTTTATTTCCAATTTAATTCCAATCTTTGGTCTATTGCAGCACAGTGGCTAAGTGGTTAGCACTTCCGCCTGGCAGTACTAGGGTCGTTGGTTCGAATCCCAGCCACGGCACCTCCTGCCTGGAGTTTGCATTTTCTCCCTGTGCCTGCGTGGGTTTCCTCCGGGTACTCCGGTTTCCTTTCCACACTCCAAAGACATGCTGGTAGGTTAATTGGCTCCTGTCTATATTGTCCCTAGTATGTGTATGTATGAATGTAAGTTAGGGACCTTAGATTGTACGCCCCTTGAGGGTTAGGGACTGATGTGAATGTACAATATATATGTAAAACGCTGCGTAAATTGACGGTGCTATACAAGTACCTGAAATAAATAAATATTGCAGAGGTACACTGGATGCAGAATCTTCAGCATCCGACACTTTTCTGTGTGTCGGACTGATGCCTGTGTGGACTGATGCCTGTGTTCCCTTCTGCGGGCTGGGGTTCAACCGGTGAGCCACACTTGGGAACACGGCAGTGATCAGCAGCTATTTTTACAAGAATAAAGTGCAGAGGAAATGAAATTGGTCATGCACTGGAACTACTCATCTACGGGATTGCTATGGTTTAGCACACTTTGCACACCATTACTGCTGTGTGCTTTGTTGGTTACTGCATTCAGCTGTCTATGAGTCACGTAGGGTTTTGTGACCCGCAGCAGTAAAGAATGAAACTCCTACACGGCGTCAAAAGTATGCAGTATGAATGTGCTTGTGCAAGCACGCTCAGGAGAACGCCGACTCACGCCTACCCCTTTCACTTACATTCACAGCTTCCACTTTGAATTCGTCGTCATTCTCGGGAGCGGACAGATCCAGCAGTATTGGGCACACTTTGTTCTCGAGGTCACTCTGGTCGATCAGGTCTTGCTCCAGCAGGATCAGCAGAGCCTCCTGGCTTGCCTTCCTCACCTAAGGACCACAGAAAGAAGTTTCAGCTATTTGCAGTTTCAGCTCTTAAAGTGCAAAAAAGTTTTTTTACTGCCGCATGTGATCTTGTAAGGGGGGAAAATCTAAAATTTTTAAGAGTTGTCACCAGAAAAGGAAAATGTACAAATGGGAGCATCCATCAAAGTGGAAGGAGGAATCATCCTCCCTTCCATTTGTGTCTATGGGAGAGGAAGTGATAGTAAAATCTCCCTAATGGGGAAATAAAGTGTGTGACGGGAGTGACTTTTGGGGGTGGGGGGACCTCTGTATCATCTTCCCAAATTCCCATTATGTTTAAGGCACCCTGTGCCTGTTAAGGGGTACAGGGTGTGTATGTGAATGTCTGAGTCTTGTGTATAGTGTGTGTTCCTTTGTTCTTGGCCACATGGCTGTCCATTGTCTGTTTGCCATGTGCTACCCCCCATTGTGCTGTGTCTTCCTGTCCAGCCAACTATTATGGGATGTACTGTTTGTGTACTAGTGTGGGGGTTGGCCATGTCCATTGCCATGTACTTCATCCCATTGTTCTGTGTCTTGGTGGGGTGGGGAGGGGTGATGATGTATTTCCTGTTCCTGGTTGTGTTTCCCCGCCCCCTGTATATATCCTGTGTTTTGTGTTAAAATAAAAGAGTTGGCTTTGTGTATTAAGAAGAGCTGGGTGCTGTCTGTTTCCTGAGGGATTTCAAGGGTGTGGTCCGTGGATGGTGTTCGGACAGGGTAAGCTGCAGGATAACGGAATATACCCAAGTGCGGTCCGGTCGGGTACCGGTTCCGTTACAAAGTGCAATTAAAGCAATATAAAACCCACAACCAAAAATTTTATATAAAGCCACTTAGCAATCCTCAGATGTGGTGGCTGCATTAGTTTTATTTTCTTAGGCTTTTCCCCTTTGTCCTCACCTGGTGATCTGGCCAGTAACACACCTTCTGTATTAAAGTGCCTCCACTCTGGATGAAGGAGCACAGGGGGCACCTTTGGACAGCAGCATTGTCAGTCTGGCAGGGTAGGGATGTTAGATGTACTAGCAGATTTATTTACACTGACAAATTGAAGCCAAACTGCAGATCACACGTTAAATTCAGTTATTTTTCCCTTTTGGGATAAAAGTTTTACATAAATAAAATCTAATCATTGTAAGCACCCATGTCAGTGGTAAATGGTTTTTCTCAATATTCTAACTGCTACAATTGCAGGAGAGCTTGTTCTGTGGAAAAACAAAAGACTTGCTGGGAGGATCACCAAATGAAAAGAAAGAAAAGAAAGCCTAAAAAAGAAAATGAACATCTAAGAATTGGTAAGCTGCAGTATAATACATGTTTTGGGTTTAATACTGCTTTAAAGTTGTTGTAAACCATTACATATACCCAGTGACGTGACTGGCTTCAGGTGATACACAGAGATTAAACAAATCCTCCTCCATACGTTGTACCTGTTTATCTGCAGTATTTTTTCTCTACATCCCTACAAAGCACAGAATTTTTACAGTTTGTCTGAGAGTTCAGAAAGAGGGGGTGTAGAGCTGAAATTACACACTGAAGCTCAGTGAGGAGAGCTCTGAGAGCTGATTGGAGGGAAGGGACACACCCCCCTCCTCACAGCACACAGGAACAGAGCTGAGGCTGTCAATCTGCTGGAGGTCTCTCCTCTGTCACCATTTTTCTCTTAGTGTCAGGCAAACTTGTCAGAAGTGATTCATGCTGATAGCAGAAGAATGTAGCAGCAGACAGAAATTACACTTAGTTCTCTGGATTGCGACAAGTACACGCTACAGAGGGATATGCTTTGCTCATATCACAGTGGCTAAATGGTTAGCACTTCTGCCTGGCAGTACTGGGGTTGTTGGTTCAAATCCCAACCACAGCACCACCTGCCTGGAGTTTGCATGTGTGGGTTTCCTCCGGGTACTCCGGTGCTTGAATGTAGTCTTTCGAGTCAAGAGATCTCTTTCAGTCATGATGACAACCTCTCCCTTATTACGGGTGTCACAGGTACTGGAAGTAAGGGAAAATCTTCCCAATGGGGTCACACACAGAAATAAAGCTGGACTTCATATTTCACATCCATGGACTACTGGGGATGCAGACATTCACTCTAGTAGTCTCTGCTACATACAGTCAGCACTGGTCTCCTCTATTTATTTTTTTATTATTATTATTTTTGCATGTTCTCCCTGTGCCTGCGTGGTTTTCCTCCAGGTGCTCCAGTTTCCTTCCACACTCCAAAGACATGCTGGTAGGTTAATTGGCTCCTGTCTAAATTGGTCCTAGTATATGTATGTATGAATGTAAGTTAGGGACCTTAGATGGTACACCCCTTCAGGGTTAGGGACTGATGTGTAAAATATAAATGTTCCATAAAAACTTTTTTTTTGAAGAATTCACAACATTCAAGATTACACGGTGAGAAAAGCTGAAATGCTATCATACTAACATAGATCAATAGGCTATAATATAACATCAGTCAATGAAGGCCATTTAAAATATAGAGAAATTTTGTATTTAGTGTTGTCTTGTGCCTCAAAGTCATAAAAAAAATAGAAGCGAGCCAATTACAGTCTATGGAAAGGTAGCTGAGAGTAAGAATCTAGCAGGTATTTGGACGCTCGTCGGTGAAGTTGTTTAGAAAAATCAAATAGCTCATGAAAACTAGCATGTCACCATTGTAGTCTATGAATATAGACATCAAATCATAATAATCAGGAAAGAAAAAGGGGAAAAGTCAGGGAAAAAGAAGGGAGAGTGGGGGAGGAAAAGTAAGTTAGGTGGTGAAAAGAAAGCGGATTCAGGATAGAAGAATGTGTAGTTATATAAAAAAAAAAAAAAAAAAAATGTGGATGGGCAGCACAGTGGCTAAATGGTTAGCACTTCCCCCTGCAGTACTCGGGTCGTTGGTTCGAATCCCAACCACGGCACCACCTGCCTGGAGTTTGCATGTTCTCCCTGTGCCTGTGTGGGTTTCCTTCGGGGGCTCCGGTTTCCTCCCACACTCCAAAGACATGCTGGTAGGTTAATTGGCTCCTGTCTAAATTGTCCCTAGTATGTGTATATATGAATGTGAGTTAGGGACCTTAGATTGTACACCCCTTGAGGGTTAGGGACTGATGTGAATGTACAGTATATATGTAAAAGCAATGCTTAAACTGACGGCACCAGGGGCAGACTGACCATTTGGAAACTCGGGCACTGCCCGAGGGCCCGGGGACAGTAGGGGGCCCCATGAGATGCCCCTGGTACCTTTTTCATAGGCTTTTTTGAGTTTGGGCAAGGACACAGGGGCCCCATGATCCCCTATTGCCCGGGGGCCCCATGAGTTGTCAGTCCGCCCCTGGACGGCACTATATAAGTACCTGAAATGAATAAAGTGACCAGCGAAAGTTTGAGTAGGGTTCTCATTGTATGGTGAACAATGCAAATCCAGACTTCAGGTGGCTGACACATATTTCCATATTTTTCATTTAAAATTTGAGTGCCTACAGGAGCCCCCAACAATAAGGGACTGGTTAGACAGGGTGGCAAATATAAACAGGATGGAGGAACTATACCATATAGACGAAGGTAATATGACCAAATTTAGAAAGAATTGGGGAAGATGGTATGACTTCAAGGCATCTGGAAAATATATTGAAGTAATGGGAGGCCCAGGGACCTGATTTGAAGTAGGAGAACAAATGGAATGATCTGAAAGGCAATAGCATGAATAAGGAGACGGGAAAAGAAAGGCTGGAGGGAAAGGAAAAATTGTAAGAAAAAGGAAGAATTGGAAGTGAGGACCGAGGAGAAAGATCATAGGCAGCCTGGGGCAAAACAGTGGCTAAATGGTTAGCACTTCCGCCCGGCAGTACTAGGGTCTCTGGTTCAAATCCCAACCACGGCACCACCTGCCTGGAGTTTGCATGTTCTCCCTGTGTCTGCGTGGGTTTCCTCCGGGTACTCCGGTTTCCTCCCACACTCCAAAGATATGCTGGTAGGGTAATTGGCTCCTGTCTAAATTGTCCCTGTTATGTGTATGTATGAATGTAAGTTAGGGACCTTAGATTGTACGCCCCTTGTGGGTTAGGGACTGATGTGAATGTACAATATATGTATGTAAAGTGCTGCGTAAATTGATGGCGCTATATAAGTACCTGAAATAAATAAATAACTGGTACAGAATGGAAAGTCAGAAAGAGAAGGGAAGAGCTATATGGACTGGGGTAAATTATTAGGGGGTTAGTGGGGAGGTGGGATTGCAAAATTTCTGGGGCATGGTTGTATTTTGGATGTAAATGTAATTTTGTGTTTTTGTAAAAGTTTAATAAAAAAATTAATAAAAAATAAATAAAATTTGAGTGCCAGTTTGGAATTAACATTTTTAAAAACTGGATACTGCACTTGAACATTGCAAACATTGAGAATGAGCCCCATTTGCAGTAAAGCCTGTACACACCACTAATGCAATGCTGGTCACGGAGGTGTAATACATCCTCAGGAAGGGGTTAAATAAACCCTGTCAATGTGTTTTTTGTTCATTCTATGACTATCCAGCGTTCTACTAGATGCACATGCTTTCTGCAAGCAGCATCATTTATCTAAGCATCACTGATGACGGTTGGGAAATGTGGGGTTTACATGCCTGTGATAATGAGAAGCTAAGCAGCTAGAACCACACCAAAATGTGACACTTCTCAATTCTAAAACCCGGACAGGTTCAGCAAAGCCGATGACAGTGGGCAGACCTCTCTCCAGAGCGATCGATGAAAGATCTATGAATCTTCGGTCTCCCTTACGCTAAAGGCGGGTCAGGCAGAGGTCAGTCTGGCAGGCTGTTTACAGTGGAAATTTTTGCAATGCCTACTTGCACAGACAGGCAGACATTCTCCATCAAGTTCCCAGTGAATGCTGCACCTGAGGGATAAAATAACTTAGGAGTTGCCCTGTTAAGCTTCACACTGACTGGGAACAGGACAAGAAAAGTGGGCAAACCGGTTCTCGCCTGCGCATTACTGGGATGCTCTAACGCTCTCCTCCATGCATGAAAATGCCAGACTGCTTCCTGGAAAACAGAAACCTATAGACCTACTGAATGGGAGACAAAGTAAAGTGACCCACAGCATCCAATCGCCTTTCATTGTTCTGTTGATAAAAAGGTATAAACTGGTTGGTTTTTATGGGCTTTGAACTGACTTATTTATTTCAGGTACTTATTATTATTTATTATTATTTATTATTATTATTATTATTATTAAAACAGTATTTATATAGCGCCAAAAAGTTTGCTCAGCCCTGTACATTATAGTGGGGGGACAGGACATGAGACAATACAGTAACAATACAATACACGAGGGGTTCGAGGGCCCTGCTCTTTGGAGCTTACAATCTACTATAGCGCCGTCAATTTGCGCAGTGCTTTACATATATATTGTACATTCACATCAGTCCCTAACCCTCAAGGGGTGTACAATCTAAGGTCCCTAACCCTCAAGGGGTGTACAATCTAAGGTCCCTAACCCTCAAGGGGGGTACAATCTAAGGTCCCTAACCCTCAAGGAGCGTACAATCTAAGGTCCCTAACCCTCAAGGAGCGTACAATCTAAGGTCCCTAACCCTCAAGGGGCGTACAATCTAAGGTCCCTAACCCTCAAGGGGCGTACAATCTAAGGTCCCTAACCCTCAAGGGGCGTACAATCTAAGGTCCCTAACTTACATTCATACATACTAGGGTCAATTTAGACAGGAGCTAATTAACCTACCAACATGTCTTTGGAGTGTGGGAGGAAACCGAGAAAAATGGTGACGTGTTCAATAATTATTTTACCCTCTGTAAATAAAGAATGTTAAAAAAAAATAAGTCAGCAAAGAGTTGCGTATATTTCCATCCTTCTAAGCTAAAGGTATCATGGTTCAAGAAGAAAGGGGAGAGATGGAGCTTGGATTGTGATGCTATTAGATGCCTGAGTTTTTTAGAACCTGACATGTGATATGTGAGTATTCAGTTCTTGGTTTTGATTGGAATTATTTTTGAACTGAATGTATAATATACATGTTATTATTATTATACAGGATTTATATAGTGCCAGCAGTTTGCTCAGTGCTTTGTAAAGAGCTACGTAAATTGTAGACGCTATATAAATACCACAAAAAAGTAAAATAAAATCTATTTTCGTAATGAGCCATGAAGGACAGTGCTATGGTATGAAGCCCTGGCTTACCTGATTATTGGAATCTGTGAGATAGCGAACAAGAATGGGCAGTAAGTACTCAGAAAACGCCCGGGGAAACTGAGGTCGGCTCTCCTGCAGGAAGAGGGTGATTTGTGGGATCTGCTCCATCAGCTCAGTGCGCACTGTAGGCTCTGTAATGAACAAAGAGGACACAATCTCCATTACATTTTACATTACATTAAAAAAGTGACGCTGCTCTGCACAAGTGACTTGGAATGGGATCGCTAGCTGTTCCCTCATCAAGTCAGACTGAACACTATGAAGAAGAGAAGCCTGGAGGGGACAGCAGCAAAAAGACAGAAATGGCTGCTGCACCAATATCCCCCACCATGAAAGATGCTTTAACAAGATGTATCTTGTTCTGCGTGAATTATCCTCCGCAGGAAGCCTTGTTCTCCAGCATTGCAGAAATAAAAAAAAAAACGAAAAAACTTCCTTTTAAAGTAAAACTATAGCTCAGCTATAACTTGTAGTGGAACCCATCTGGTCCAAAGTTTCCAGAGACAGAACCGTGCTGAAGTGCAGGATCCAACATGGCTCAAAAGGAATCTATTTGAAGACCAACCCAAGCATGCGCAGGCACCTCAATGCATCAGAACTGTCGCCAACTAGAGAAACATTTTTATTGTAGATAATGCTATTCTTAGAAATAACACATCCAACGGTTTTCAGGTAAAGTTTGTAATTAACCACTTGCCCTCCAGAGAATTTACCCCCCCCTTCCTGACCCGGCCATTTTTTGCGATACGGCGCTGCGTTACTTTGACAATTGCGCGGTCATGCAACACTGTACCCAAATGAAATGTCCTTTTTTTCCACAAATAGAGCTTTCTTTCAGTGGTATTTGATCACCTGTGCGGTTTTTTTTTTTTTGCGCTATAAAAGACTGACAATTTTGAACAAAAAAAAACTATATTTTTGACTTTTTGCTATTAAACATGTCCAATAATAAAATGTAAAAAAATCTAATTTCGTCATAAATTTAGGCCAAAATGTATTCTGCGACATGTCTTTGCTAAAAAAAAAAAAAAAAATACCAATACGTGTAAATTAATTGGTTTACGTGAAAGTTATAGCGTCTACAAATGGAGGTATATATGCTGGAATTTTTTTTTTTCTACTAGTAATGGAGGCGATCAGCGACTTACTGCAGCGGGCATTCTGACATTGGGGGGAGGAAACTGACTAACTGCCACTGACATCCCCAGTGACACTAATACAGTGATCAGTGCTAATAAAAAGCACTGACACTGTACACTGGGCAGGAAGGAGTTAACATCTGGGTGCGATCAAAGGGTTAACTGTGTGCTGTGTGTGTTTTACATTGTGTGCTGTGTGTGTTTTACATAGTGTGCTGTGTGTGTTTTACATTGTGTGCTGTGTGTTTTACATAGTGTGCTGTGTGTGTTTTACATAGTGTGCTGTGTGTGTTTTACATAGTGTGCTGTGTGTGTTTTACATTGTGTGCTGTGTGTTTTACATAGTGTGCTGTGTGTGTTTTACATAGTGTGCTGTGTGTGTTTTACATAGTGTGCTGTGTGTGTTTTACATAGTGTGCTGTGTGTGTTTTACATTGTGTGCTGTGTGTTTTACATAGTGTGCTGTGTGTGTTTTACATTGTGTGCTGTGTGTGTTTTACATAGTGTGCTGTGTGTTTTACATAGTGTGCTGTGTGTTTTACATAGTGTGCTGTGTGTGTTTTACATAGTGTGCTGTGTGTGTTTTACATAGTGTGCTGTGTGTTTTACATTGTGTGCTGTGTGTTTTACATTGTGTGCTGTGTGTTTTACATAGTGTGCTGTGTGTTTTACATTGTGTGCTGTGTGTGTTTTACATTGTGTGCTGTGTGTTTTTACATTGTGTGCCGTGTGTTTTTACATTGTGTGCTGTGTGTTTTTACATTGAGTGCTGTGTGTGTTTTTACATAGTGTGCTGTGTGTGTTTTACATAGTGTGCTGTGTGTGTTTTACATTGTGTGCTGTGTATGTTTTACATAGTGTGCTGTGTGTGTGTGCTGTGTGTTTTACATTGAGTGCTGTGTGTGTTTTACATTGAGTGCTGTGTGTGTTTTACATTGTGTGCTGTGTGTGTTTTACATTGTGTGCTGTGTTGTTTTACATAGTGTGCTGCGTGTGTTTTACTGTGTAGACAAACTGCTTTGTATTGCTCTGCTGTGCAGAGCAATACAAAGCAGATTGTTTGTTCGTGCTGACAGGGGAGAGATCTGTATTGTTTACATACAGACCTCTCTCCCCTGTCAGCTCCGCTGACGATCACCTGTGTCCCGGCCGAGAATCGGTGTTCAGGACCCGGTGATTGACATGTCGAGGAGCCAATAGCGGCGCGGGGTAGACAGCACACACCCTCCACCCACAAATACAAAATCATGTATATATCTGTGATTTTGCACATTCCTGCCGCCCTGTAGTAGTACTTCTGCTATAGGGGGGTCGGGAAGCGGTTAATTATAGACAGGTTTCTGTCCCCACACAAACAAGTTTACTAAAACGTTCCGTAGGATTTAAAAGGATACATTTTTGCATGCATTTTTCTTCTGCGTTTTAAACCCCAAAAGTGCATCAAAACCTGATCAGTGTGAAAGGGCCCTAATCGTGCAGCATAGCGGTTGGGACTGATCAATCGTTCCAAAATTTGTTGACATTTAGCTACAGCAACCAATCTTGGTTTTGTCTTAAAAATCAGGAGTAAAACCAAAATATTGTAGACCGCAGTACCGACCTGAGTCTTCCGACAGGCGAACAACGATCTCCATGACTGTGAGAAAGTCATCTTCTGTACTGCTAAAGTCTCTCAGCACATCCAGCAAGCCGCGTGCAATTATCTGTCTGTATGGGAAGTATAGGAACACTGGTTAAAAGCATGTAGACAGTGGGCTTTACCATAACTGAGGTACCAATTAGGCTAGGTTCACATCTGTGCGGGTGGTGCTGCTGCAGATCCGCACGAAAATCCACGCAGTCGTACCACCCGCACAGAGAATTGCGTACCCACGGTCGGGTGCCATTAGTTCTAATGGCAAGACGCCCGCAGTGGAAAACGCAACCGTACTGGGAACCTCGGTTCCCAGTGCAGGCAGCGTGCCATTAGAATTAATGGCACCCGCCCGGGGGTCCGCATTCTTCTGTGTGGGTGGTGCGGCTGCACAGATTTTTGTGCAGATCCGCAGCGGCACCACCCGCACATATGTGAACCTAGCCTGAGACAATACAGAGTAAATTTACTCAATCTGGTGCACCTGTGCATGAGAGCCAATCAGCTTCTAACTTCAGCTTGTTTAATAAACCTGGAAGCCGATTGGTTTCTATGCAGAGCTGCACCAGATTTTGCATTCTTCAGTTTTATTAAATAACTTCCTACATGTGCTAAAGGTCCTTTGTTGGTACATATCCTAGTTAATAAGACCTAGAGGTCTACAAGCAATGTAGGTTATTGGCAAGGAATATGTGAAGCGCTGTGATAGAACAGTGGTAAGCACTAGTGGCTTGTAGAACAGGTGTCCTGGGTTCAGTTCCTGCTGCTCTGGATAACTCGGTGGCTCATATTGGGCCTCATAAACATGTAAAAATGTACGCCTTTTTAACTGGTAATCAAAACCTCTTTATAATTCTTTCAAGTATTCCTCCACCCCAAAGACTGGTAGAAAAGTCTTTAGTTGGGCACACATTTTGAGGTTTTTTTTTTCGGTCAATCAGCGGGCTAAACAGAAAAAAAACTCTCAGATTTCTGTATGCACACAAGCAGTGTGAATGCAGGTATCTTCTCCTCTGTGTTATTGAATTCTGACAGCGGGACATCCTCCCTGTCAGAATACACAGATCAGTGCTGCAGCCATTGGCTGCAGTGGCTGATCGAATGCTGGTTTCACCGCAGGACTGTTTGACAGAAGCTGGTCTAATGATTGGCTCCAGTTAAACAGACAACACTACACAAGGATCAAAATTCGACCTGTTCCCCTTGAACTGGCCAAATACGCTACATGATATCTAACTTTATGTTGGGGCTGGTGCAAGGGCAGACTGACAACTCATGGGGCCCCGGGCAATAGGGGATCATGGGGCCCATGTCCTTGCCCACACTCAAAAAAGCCTATAAAAAAGGTACCAGGGGCATTTCATGGGGCCCCCTACTGACCCCGGGCCCTCGGGCAGTGCCTGAGTACTCGAATGGTCAGTCCACCCCTGGGCTGGTGTATTGTATTACTTGAAGGTTTCTTCCATCTCTACTCAACAGTCCCACCCATTAAAAGCCAAGTAATGGTGCCATGCGCCTCATGGATTCTCCATACCATTATAATTTTGTATTCCAATTTTCAAAAAATTGATCTCTTTAATTGGGCCTTGTGTGGGAAGCAGAGACTTAACGTGTACCTTCACCCTCATTCTAAATATTCCCCTTGTATTACTATTTATCCCCTTGGGAAACAGAATCACTTTTATAATTTGTAAATATTTTTAGGGTTCTTATTTTCCCCCCTAAACAAGAATGATGTAGCCCCCTGAGATACTCACATCACACATCCCAGGAAGCTTTGAGGCAATCTATAAAATATGCATATTTGCTGCTGCAAGTTATCAGGAGGCCGACTGTCTCTTCCTGCCTCTTGCAGCCGGGCCCCTGATGATGAGCTTCATCAGGGGTCTGGTGACAAGAATTATGAAGGCTCCCAGTGATGTCAGGGAGGAAGATGGTGGCGAGGGGCCTGGTGTATAGCAGCAGAGCAGTGGATCACTATAAAGAGTCGCTGGATTTTCTGGGTGAGTAAATAGGTTTATTGTAAATGTAAAAGATCAGGTTCAGCGAGCGCTTAAAAATGAAAAAGCGGCTAGAACACTAAAAAAGGAAACCATAAAACATTCTATAAAACCATATAAACCATGTAGTGCAGCGCTAAAATATACGTGATCTTAATAATTAATACTTGTAACACGCAATATAAATCACTATAGAATGATTATAATATTATGTAGTGATTTATATTCTGTGTTACAAGTATTAACCACTTCCTGTCCGGACACTTTTACCCCCTTCCTGTCCAGGGCAATTTTCAGCTTTCAGCGCTATCACACGTTGAATGAGAATTGCGCGGTCATACAATACTGTACCCATATGAATTTTTTACCATTTTTTTAAGACAGATAAAGCTTTATTTTGGTGGTATTTATTCACCGCTGGGATTTTTTATTTTTTTTACTATGTAAATGAAAAAGTCCAAAAATTTTGAAAAAAGTGTTTTTTTTAATAAAATTTTGCAAATAAATAATATTTCATCATAAATCTTGGCCAAAATGTATTCTGTTTTTTTTTAGTAAAAAAAAAAAAATCCAAATTAGTTTATAACCAAAAATTATAATTTTTAAACATTTATTTTTACATTTTTATATTATTTTTTTTTTTTTTTTTTTTACATACTGTCACCCTAGCAGTACAGTGTCACCATGGTGATGAAGATTTTTTTTTTTTTTTTCTTTTTACACCCATATACGATGTAAAAGCAATCATTTCTCTTTCTCTCTGTCTGCATTCTTGCAGTCATTGAGAAGTACTGAGTGAGCTGTGATTGGTCATAGCTTGTCACATGGTACAAGGCTGTTGTGAATAGCCCTGTACCATGTGATCATTCACAGATTTCACACGTAGTAAGCAATGATGTCACAAGTGACATCTTGCTTACTACTTTTACACTGATTGGCCAATCAGTGATCACTTGATCGGGACCTCGTACAGAGGTCCCGTCCGACGATCGGTGTTTCACTGTGTCCGGAGGACACAGCGGGCAGCGGATCGCGGTGCTGCGCACTCCCAGGGAGCGCGCACAGCTAGAAAAGGCGGGTGCCGTTTAGGAACGGCAACCTGCCCCTGGACTGCCACCGCCCTGCCGTTTATAAACAGCAGGCTGACGGCAAGTGGTTAATTATTAAGATCACATATATTTTAGCGCTGCTCTACATGGTTTATATTTTTATTGTAGATGCCACAGCAAAAAAAAAAAAGGTAACGGGGGATTAAAAAAAAATAAAATTACAGGCCAGGTACAGCTTCTCTTTCAAACACTGTATAGAATTTTTCGGCACTTGGCTTCCACTGAGATGAAGGAAGCCAGCGGGTTATTATACCCACCCAAAACAGGAACGATTGGTTTTTGGTGATGTCTCCCACTACCTGCAGGGCCGCAGCATTTACCTGTTGAATATATTATCACTAAAGGCGTATTTTTCCAGGCGTGCCAGGGGTGTCAGGTTGTCCTGCCCGGGAATGTCCAGAAAAGCACTTATCCTCATGCTTTCACAGTCTGGTCCATAATCCTCGAAGCCAACTTAAAGGAGGAAAACAAAGAGATGTGTTACATTTCCCTTTAGTGCGGAGCAGACCTGTCTGGGTGTCATGTTACTCTGTGTGTGTGGGGCGCAGGGTGTCCTGTATCCACACCTATATACCAAGCGTCTGACGGCCATACTTAGGTTACACAATGATGGACACAAACCAGCCCACAGAGCTATGTAAGCTCATTTGTATCCAGCTCGGAGATAGCGATCTGCTAAGATGCTCAGCCCTGCTACAGGTTTGAAGAGCACAGCACTAATCCCTTGTAACATGAAGTGTGAGCAGAATTTTAATTCCTGCTCAAGAGGAATTACAGGAGATTTCCCTGCCCAGTTTGTCCTTCCTTTCCACCCGCCGTCAGGCACAAGTGACATGGGTTCAAGCAACATGGCTTCCTCCACTTCTTGGACCAAACTAGGGAGCCAAGAAACGAGGCTCGGTCTGCTGCAATTCCTTTGCGGATAAAGGTTTTATCTATTTTCATTTGTTTTCAGAGCCAAACGTCACTTAGGTTTCAAAAACTAAAGCAATGGCTGCCACTCTAGTAAAAAAAAAAAAAAAAAAACAACAAATACAGGCGTACCTCAGTTTACGAACGCCTCGGTTTACGCAATTTTCGGTTTACGAATGAAATCCATTGAAAATAATGCCTCGCAATACGAACGGATTAATTGTTTTTCAGTGCATTTACGATTTGTTTTTTAAATCATGTTGCTGTACAGTACTATGCCTTTATAAAGAGTTTTGAACAAAGAAGACTTTTTTCTGACCTCTGAAAAGATTAATTGGTTTTCAATGCATTTACGATTTTTTTTTTTTCATCATGTCCCTGTACAGTATTTATGCCTTTAAAGTGCATTTTATACAGGTTTTTGAACAGATAAGACTTTTTTTTTTTTTTACTTTTTTCTAACCTCCGGAACAGATTAATTGGTTTTCAATGCATTTACAAATTATTTTTTTTTATCATGTCCCTGTACAGTATTTATGCCGTTAACGTGCACTTTATAAAGAGTTTTGAACAGATAGACTTTTTTTTTACTTTTTTCTGACCCCCGGAATGGATTTATTGGTTTTCAATGCATTTACAAATTTATTTTTTTTTATCATGTCCCTGTACAGTATTTATGCCTTTAAAGTGCACTTTATAAAGAGTTTTGAACAGTTAAGACTTTTTGTCTTACTTTTTTCTGACCTCCGGAACAGATTAATTAGTTTTCAATGCATTTACAAATTAATTTTTAATTATGTTCCTGTACAGTATTTATGCCTTTAAAGTGCATTTTATAAAGAGTTTAACAGATAAGACTTTTTTGACTTTTTTCTGACCTCCGGAACGAATTGATTTTCAATGCATTTATGATTTTTTTTTTAATCATGTCCCCATACAGTATTTATGCCTTTAAAGTGCATTTTATACAGGCTTTTGAACAGATAAGACTTTTTTTTTTTTTTTTTAGTTTTTTCTAACCTCCGGAACAGATTAATTGGTTTTCAATGCATTTACAAATTATTTTTTTTATCATGTCCCTATACAGTATTTATGCTGGTAACGTGCACTTTATAAAGAGTTTTGAACAGTTAAGACTTTTTTTCTTACTTTTTTCTGACCTCCAGAACGGATTAATTAGTTTTCAATGCATTTACAAATTAATTTTTAATCATGTTCCTGTACAGTATTTATGCCTTTAAAGTGCACTTTATAAAGAGTTTGTTAACAGATAAGACTTTTTTCTGACCTCCGGAACGAATTGATTTTCAATGCATTTACGATTTTTTTTTTTTTTAATCATGTCCCCGTACAGTATTTATGCCTTTAAAGTGCACTTTATAAAGAGTTTTGAACAGATAAGACTTTTTTTTTTACTTTTTTCTGACCTCCGGAATGGATTAATTGGTTTTCAATGCATTTATGATTTTTTTTTTATCATGTCCCCCCCGTACAGTATTTATGCCGTTAACGTGTACTTTATAGAGAGTTTTGAACAGATAAAATATTTTTTTTTCTTTTTTCTGACATCCGGAACGGATTAATTGGCTTTCAATGCATTCCTATGGGAAACCGCATTTTGGATTACAAATTTTTCGCAATACGAAAAGTCCCGCTGAACGAATTAAATTCGTAAACCGAGGTACGCCTCTAAAGTTTTAAAGTAATAAAGTTCTAAAAAGGATAGATTTTGACTAGAATGGCAATGTTTTATGTAGTCAAGTAGGGGGAGATCTGAATTGCTGTCTGTGTCTTTGTTGGACTGTCTAGTGATATGAGTGTAAAGCCAGCCATAGATGGATCAAATCTTGTCCGGTTCTGCAGGGACAGGCCGAGATTCAATCCATCTATAGGTAGGCTGGTTGTACAATCATCCTGTCAGATTTTTTTGGGTTGTGATTACTGCCAGCGGCTACAGCGTCTAGCAGTAATCATTGTGTTTTGCTGGCCGGGAGAACACAATATCTCCAGGGGTGGGATTCCACCATCAACACTAAGGACCAATTCACACTATATACGATGACAGACGTTTTACCGCATGGTTAAATATCTGTCACCGCAATGACACAAAGAAAACGATTGTTTCCTATGTGTCCCATTCACACTGCAATGCAGCCTAGCGCTGAGCAGCAGCATGCTACGGTAACATGCAGACGTGCTGCATTTTATTACAGCGCATTGGCCCAAATCACACTGTAATGTCGGGCAGCACAGCGCAGCGCACTGCCCGACATTGCAGTGAATGAAGTGTATGTTTTGTACATTTCACATAAAGCTTTTACAAAATGAAACAAAAAAAAAGAAGGGAGCAGCATGATGCAATGAATGCGCTAGTGCAGTGACAACGCAGAGAGGTCAATCGCTCCACCTGCTCTGCATTGTGCTGTGAATACACCCTCACTGTGTTGATGAGGGAAGCAAGTGATTTTCTTTCCTGCAACCTGTGGTTGCTTGCCTTAGCACTTGTTTACACTAGTGGGTTTGGGGGGGCAGTAAAACCACACAGCTGCATTTTTACATGGAAAGACAGTGGCTGGGGGTGTACGTACAGCAGTAATGATACCCTTTTTGCATTTGGCAGGCACTACCACCTGCTGAATGCAACCCATTCAAGTGAATGGAGCCACACTGCAGCCGTCCCGGAACAGCATGCAATGCACACAGTTGCGGCGTAGCAGTCTGGCGTTTAGGGAGTTAAAACAGGTGGCCCTTTGCACTAATCAGTGTGATGCCCTTTGAACAGGCGTTTTACAAAAACCGTTTTACTTGACTTTTCCTGGCATAATCATTTTTTTACTGCGCAGTTCACGGCTCCAACCTTCATGGTGAATGATTAACCCTATAGATTCCTACATGTGATCTTAGAAGGAAATGACATCAGAGGACGATAATACTTGTGTCAATAGAAACACAAGGAGATCAGCCTGCAGATGGTTCCAACTTTCCCAAAGTAAACACAACAAGAAATCACAGTAGATTGAATGCGTAATAACAAACACATGGCCTAATATACAGTATATGCAATAATGAGCGAATGAAAGTGAACTGAGGGCAAGAAAAAGCCTGTTTTTAGGTATTAGTGTGCTTTTTGACGTGCTGACTGCACAGGTTTTTCTTCTGATAGTAAAGAAGAGGGAGCATATATGAGCCCTGGATGGCTTTCTTAGAAAGGGAAACAATGCAGTGTAGCAAAACTGTAGAGAAAGAAACTCAGAATGAACAAGGTGCTTGCAGCCAAATCCCACCGTAGCTCCCGTATTATTGGCTGCCCTCTGTGTGCCTGACTTCTCTCCACTGGCTGCGGTGTTGTTCTGCAGCTTCTCCTACCTCCGTCTGTTAATACATTGGAGATGATGTACTAAAGGCAAATAGACAGTGTACTTTGCAGCTGCACCGATTTCCCCCAGAGCTTACTGAATGTGGTGAAGCTTTACTTTGTAACGAATACTCAATCGGGTGCAAGGCAAATAAACAAAACATCATTTCCGCTTGCACGATTGGATGATGGAAATCAGCCAAGCTTACCCGAATTCATAAAGCGGCTGAATGTAACCACACTGCACTGCGTTCTTTACTGGTCTCAATGGCCAGGAAATCTGTCAACGGGGACGCAGAAGTAACGTCACTTCCGGGTCAGGACGTGTTCACTCTCCTCCCTCCCCTCTAGCTGAACTGGTCCTGGGCCTGCAGATGGGCAAGCAGAGCCCGGTTGACATGGGGGGGACGGGGGTCAAGGCTGGCACTATGGGCTGTGTGAAAACAATCGGGCAGCAGCACGGCCACCCGAATGCTTTCAACTGACAGGCGAGTCCTACTCCTTGCCCGCAGCAGGGCTAAAGGTTGAAAGAAAAAAAAAATACCTGCCTGGCGCCTCGAACTACATGTCCCAGGCGTTGGGTGATATACATTCAACATCCCTGTGCAACTGCCACAGTCTATTCACCTTTAGTAAATCAACCTCTAGGTCTGCCGTGCTACGTGATCTGCCTAGATCAATACAAGGGCACATAGAAAACAATTGCTCTCTGTGTGCCCTATTTACACCGTTTATCTACAGTGGTGTGAGCTCACCGCATGTCACCGCAGCGGGTCACAACACAACGTGGTGCAAAGGGCTGAAGTAAATGTCATTTTGTTACAATTCAAGAAAGTTAAAAAAAAAAAAAAAAACAGAAAGAAGTGACAAGGCATTGCGCTATGTACACCAGCACCCACACACGTTAGATCAGGGCTTAAAATTTCCACTCACCTGCTTGCATTTGGCGAGTGGAAATAACGTGGGGGCGAGTGTTATTGTTGGCTACTCCTTGCCCGTTACTGACCGCTCCTGCACCTTCTATCACTCTCTTTTCTTTTACCTATCAGCTTTACTGTATGAGGTTCTCCCACCTCCCCCGGTACTTGTGTCCTGTGACACCCAACCTGGGCAAGGTAGGGTGGGGCAACTGGTGGAGAGTAAGGTTTGTGCCTGGCTAGTAGGTCTAGACTTGAAATTATAAGTCCTGCGTTAGATGACAAGTCGGTGTGAGCGAGCCCGTACTCTGCGATTCTATGATAGTGTTGGCTCTACATCTGGATAGCTGTGCAAACAATGTAAAAGCTCTGACAACTAAACATGCATCCCTGACCTAGGTGATGAAGGAAAAACTTCTGTTTTGCTCAAGTGCTCACTGGTGTAATTTGTGTAGGTGCCGGGGTGGTCGGATGTGCTGTTACGGCGCATCCAACTGTTTGTTTTTTTTCTGTTTAACTTTATTAAAGTGGTGGGGTGACATGCAATGCTGTACGTTGCACTACATGAACAAGGCACATAAACTACAATTGCACCCTTGTGTTGATCAACACATCTCGATGGATATCTCCGGCATTTGATATAGTTTACCACCCTGTTCCTCTTCAAATAAAAACTCCCTTGGCCTCTGTGACTCTGCAGGTTCCCCTCTTACCTATCTCACCCCACCTTCAGTGTCACTTACAACTTTCCTTCCTGCTCTCTTCTTCCTCTTTCAATATGGGTCCCCCAAGTTTCCATTCTCAGACCTCTTCTGTTCTCTATCTACACCTTCCTCTGGATCACCTGATAGACTGCCATAGCTGCAACTACCATTTCTATGCTGATGACACCACAACTCTGTCTTGAGCTACATCACCAACCTCATCGTCCTCCCTGCTCCTTCTAAGACCTCCTGCTCTGTAGCTCCCTTGTCACCTCCTCCCATGTTTGCCTCCAAGACTTCTTCAGAGCCTCTCCCATCCTCTGGAACCCCCTACACCACAGGTGTCAAACTGGCGGCCCTCCAGCTGTTGCCGAACTACAAGTCCCATGAGGCATTGCAATATTGACAGTTCCAAGCATGACTCCCAAAGACAGAGGCACGATGGGACTTGCAGTTTGGCAACAGCTGGAGGGCAGCATTAGATCGATGCTGCATCTACATAGGTAAGTATGTTTGTTTTTTTGTATCCCATACTTCTCTTTTAAAGTTCTATTTCACAAGAGTTGAAAAAAAAAGTAGTGTCTGAATGAGGACAGTCCCGTGGTTAGTTAATAGGACTTGAAGTACAGGTACTGGAGGAAGTAAACGTCAAGTAAAGGAGGAAGTGGAGGCGTACGATGACGTACGGCCCCCGCAATGCAGACTTACAGTCATCCAGATCATCTTGTAGGTCCACAAAGTAGAGAGGAATCCCTGAGAGGAAACACAGCAGGAAGTCAGCAAGACAGAACATTGACATGTAGAGGACAAGGAACACAAATAACATTTAAAGGAACAGTCAGTTCTATCTTCATGTCTATTAAAATACAAACGACAGGATGGAGATCCTCCCTGCGAGGAGCAGGCGTAAAGCTCTTCAACGACAATGTGCCCATTTTATAGGCAAAATCATGTTGGGGTATTTTGGGAGGCAGACATTCCACACACAAAATTCAGGCAAAATTGGAGAACATCAAACTCAGAGGACCCCTTCCTTTCTGTCACCATGAAAGACTCACCCTTGAAGTGACAGTACACTCTGTTGTGTTGTTACTCTTTAGGATGCGAGTGCTGTGACTTACACTGGCTGCTGCTTCTTCTAATGCACGGGTGTCAGTGGCCCTCCAGCTGCTGCAAAACTACAAGTCCCATCATGCCTCTGGCTTTGGGAGTCATGCTTGTATTTGCCAATCTTGCAATGCCTCATGGGACTTGTAGTTCGGCAACAACTGGAGGGCCGCCAGCTTGACACCATTATTTATTTATTTATTTCACGTACTTATATAGCGCCGTCAATTTACACAGCACTTTACATATATATAAATATACACATATAATGTACATTCAGATCAGTTCCTAACCCTCAAGGGGTGTACAATCTAAGGTCCCTAACCTTCATACATACACACACTAGGGACAATTTAGACAGGAGCCAATTAACCTCCCAGCATGCCTTTGGAGTGTGGGAGGAAACCCAAGCAGGCACAGGGAGAACATGCAAACTTCAGGCAGGTGGTGCCGTGGTTGGGATTCAAACCAATGACCCTAGTACTGCCAGGCGGAAACTAACCATTTACCACTGTGCTGCTCACGTGTTCTTCTGTTTCTGGTTTTCCCCCCCCCCTTTTCACTCCCTCAGTTTATGCTGTAAGGGTGGCCCCTTGGCTTGCAGGGTCCTATGGAGCCCCCACAAGAGCCACCCTTTTATGGGAAGAATACTACAAGATGACATCATGACCTGGCAAAAGACATGCCTCGGGCAAGTGATTGAAAGCAGCTTGCAAGGGCCGTGCATGCGCAATGGTGCTATGAATTATGGGATATGTAGTATGGAGGAAGGGGATCAGTGTGCAGCTATGAGTACGCACTCCCCAACCAGAAATACAAGGAAGGGATATTGTGATACCTTCAGATATATGGATGGTGGCTGTGCTGGTTGTCACTTCACATATTAAGGTGGACAGGGATTTTTTTTTTTTAAAAGCAGTACCCCAGGTAAAGGTAACAAGATAAATAATGAATTGAAAGGATAAAATAACATATCCAGCCTTCACTGCAATATTCAGCTTCAATCCAGTGACTTCCCCTGCAGTACTGTTTTCTGCCCTTAGATGTCTTCAGTCTGATGGCCGGCATAATTCAACCCACTTCCTCTGAGCTCTGATCTTCCTGGGCCCGCCCCCAGCCTGTGACTGGACAGTGAGAAGAGAAGCAGCAGACTGATGAGCTCATCTCCCTGATAAACAATCTGCTCTCTCCTATCAGCATGCATTTGTCAGTACATGAAGTATCCTTGTGCTGCTTTTAACTCTCAAACTCCAGCCCTGCTGTACAGACTACAGGAAGCTGATCCAGGGTAAATCCAGGTACTTACTCTGTTTGCATATAAAAAAAACACATTTAAAGGTGTATTCATATGTACAGAGCAATAATCCGACTCCCCTGTATCAGCCAGCACAGCTGCAGGGGAGAGGAGGGAGCGGCAACATTGGATGGGCCATTGAAGCCTATGGGTGATGTCACCGTTCCAGGCTTCACCAACCATTGGTCGGAGCGCTCTCTACTCTCCCCTGCAGTCACCACTGGTTGACAGTACGGATCACATGATCGGACCACCGGCCTGAAAATAGGTCAGTATATGCATCTTTCTTACACCGGTTAGTAAGTATGGGTGTTAGGAGGGGGGAGGGGACATTTTTTAAGACTAGTTAGGGTTAAGCTGGAATTCCATTTTATTGTTTCGCTTTCACACAAGGTGTATGGCTCATCCACAGGAGCAGCCAGGGGGTGGTAAAATCAGGCAGCTGAGCACTGGCTTTACCGTCCTCCAACCTAACAAGGACATGCAGCCACTCAGGGCTATACACATACCACAGCTAAAATGTAACAGCATGTTGTTTTCGGCTGACCCTGAAATGTGACCATGCCGCAACCCCCCCCCCCCCCCCCCCCCCGCATCCACATGCAGAGCAAGCTGTGGATGCCCAATGGTAGACTATGCCTGAAGGTGACATATCACCTCCTCACCACCTGCGAAAGGCCCTCTGAAAAGCTATCCATGGTGGATCACTTTTCAGAGAAGCAGCTATGACAGACGCATGTGTGAACAAACCCTTAATGGATGCACAAGTGTGAGGGGGCACTTATGCTCTTTTTTTTTTTTGCCAACACATTTTTGCTTTGTCTTTATGAAGAACACAACAACATTAAAATGCACCTGAGGCTTTTTTTTTTTAAGAGGAGAACAGAGTGCTGAGAGGTTAGAACCCTGTGTCCCCGCCAAGGATATTTACTCTATGTTGGTACTGGTGACCACAGTCACCCAGATACAACGTGAGGGACCACCTAAAAGTTGTCACCAGAACAGGAATCAAGGAGAAGTTTTCTATTGAGGGCCCCTGTTCTGGTGACAACTTCCTAAGACAGGGTTTCTGTTACTGTGGCATGAGGGGTGACTGGCAATGACTTATGAGCACACACTTCCCCACCAGGAAGTTCAGGGAAGTGGCACACACAGCTGTAAACAGACCAAAATGTGTTTCTGAACTTGGTGGCAGGAATCATGTATTGTGCTGTGCAGATTACAGCTGAATTCCAGCAATGGCTAGGAATTTGTACATAGCTGCATTGATCCAGCTTGCAACAATGGAAGTATGAATGTGCTATACTGCTGGGATCCCTGGAATTATTAGGCACCACCCCTCCAGCCATCTCCACTAGCTTCCAGGTCCTGTGCCAAGTGATTGCCCTGATGTCTACTGAACACAGGAAGTCACAGGGGCGGACTGACAACTCATGGGGCCCCCCCGGGCAATAGGGGATCATGGGGCCCCTGTGTCCTTGCCCAAACTCAAAAAAGCCTATGAAAAAGGTAACAGGGGCAACTTATGGGGCCCCCTACTGACCCCGGGCCCTTGGGCAGTGACCAAGTTTCCAAATGGTCAGTCCGCCCCTGGGAAGTCATCATCTCAGCATGGGCACCATTCAGAGAACACTCAATAAAATTTTCTCTGATTGGATGAAATGGAGATGGATGACCACCCCACCTCATCCAATCAGAGGACGCTTTGCATTCACTTAGAAAAGGCTAAGTGTTCCCTGAATGGCGACCCTGCTGAGTGAGTGGCCTCCTGTGTTCACAATACAGCAGGGGGACCCAGAAGCTAGTGGAGATGCCTGGAGTAGCGGTCAGTGATTTCCAGCTTCCAGGGACATTGGCCAGGTACGGTATATACACAGTTACATTGTTCCACGCTGGGCCAGGAATACTGTGTACAAATACCCAGAGCTGGAATTCACCTTTAACCTATATCAGTAGATTTCTGCTTAAAAAGGAGACATTTTCTTAGCACTGTAAGAACCTCCACATGTACAGAATGCAATGAGCACACCAGGCCAAAGATCTAGGATTGCAAAGTCTTTTAATATTTGTATTATTGCAGAACAGGAGAACATAAGATGACCAACGCGTTTCGGGGAGAAAAAAATTTTGTAAATTGATCGGCCTGCTAATACGTTGAATCCTGCCTGCACCATCTTCTACTACATTGCACATGTCCAACAATAGGTCTACCCCAGCACTGCACATGTGCCCACGCCGTCCAGTCCTCTACAGCCCCAGCATGGTGTCATCACTTCTCTTCTGGACCCTGAGTGCACCCTGCCACTGGACAGCCAATAGGAAATGTCCATGTCACACAGGCAGTGATGATGTCACCTGTCGGATGTGCGCAGAAGAGGAGAGAACGCTCAGGGCGGGAACATCACCTGACCAGCGATTTGTTAAGAGGGCGATGGGAGAGAAGGGGGTCTGTGTTTTGTGAGCTGGGCTCTAACCTTCTGCCATGGGCTGTAAACACATACAGTATGTGGAGGTAGAGAGCGGGATGTCATCCTGTGCGTCCATATATACAGGTCTACAGTCTGTGCTGGGAACAAGAACAACTGTGTCTGCACTGTCAGCAATACCACAGAAGGCTCATACACTGCACCCAGGGCCACTGCCCCTCCTGTCCACCCCATATCCTCCCCCCTTCCCCACTGCACCCAGGGCGGTTGCCCCTTCTGTCCACCCCATATCCTCCCCCCTTCCCCACTGCACCCAGGGCCACTGCCCCTCCTGTCCACCCCATATCCTCCCCCCTTCCCCACTGCACCCAGGGCGGCTGCCCCTCCTGTCCACCCCATATCCTGCCCCATTCCCCACTGCACCCAGGGCCACTGCCCCTTCTGTCCACCCCATAGCCTGCCCCATTCCCCACTGCACCCAGGGAAACTGCCCCTCCTGTCCACCCCATATCCTGCCCCATTCCCCACTGCACCCAGGGAAACTGCCCCTCCTGTCCACCCCATATCCTGCCCCATTCCCCACTGCACCCAGGGCCACTGCCCCTCCTGTCCACCCCATATCCTGCCCCATTCCCCACACTGCACCCAGGGAAACTGCCCCTCCTGTCCACCCCATATCCTCCCCCATTCTCCACTGCACCCAGGGCGGGCTGCCCCTCCTGTCCACCCCATATCCTCCTCCATTCCCCACTGCACCCAGGGCGGCTGCCCCTCCTCTCCCACCCCATATCCTCCCCCCCCATTCCCCACTGCACCCAGGGAAACTGCCCCTCCTGTCCACCCCATATCCTGCCCCATTCCCCACTGCACCCAGGGCGGCTGCCCCTCCTGTCCACCCCATATCCTCCCCCCTTCCCCACTGCACCCAGGGCGGCTGCCCCTCCTGTCCACCCCAATATCCTGCCCCATTCCCCACTGCACCCAGGGCCACTGCCCCTCCTGTCCACCCCATATCCTCCCCCCTTCCCCACTGCACCCAGGGCGGTTGCCCCTTCTGTCCACCCCATAGCCTGCCCCATTCCCCACTGCACCCAGGGCAACTGCCCCCCCTGTCCACCCCATATCCCCCCCCCCTTCCCCACTGCACCCAGGGCAACTGCCCCCCTGTCCACCCCATATCCCCCCCCTTCCCCACTGCACCCAGGACAGCTGCCCCTCCTGTCCACCCCACATCCTCCCCCCCATTCCCCACTGCACCCAGGGCAGCTGCCCCTCCTGTCCACCCCATATCCTCCCCTCCACTGCCCCTCCTGCCCACCCCATGTTCCCCTCCAGCGCACCTCCTGCCCACCCCATGTTCCCCTCCACTGCCCCTCCTGACCACCCCATGTTCCCCTCCACTGCCCCTCCTGACCACCTCATGCCTCCACTTCCCCACTGCACCTGCCCCTCCTACCCATCCCATGTTCTCCACCCCTTCCCCCCACTGCACCTAGGGCGGTTGCCCCCCCTGCATGTTCTCCCCCACTGCCCTCTTGCCCACCCTATGTTCTCCCCCACTGCCCCCTGCCCCCCATGTTCTCCTCACTGCCCCTCCCTGCCCACCCCATGTTCTCCCCCCACTGCCCCTCCTGCCCACCCCATGTTCTCCCCCACTGCCCCCTCCTGCCTACCCCATGTTCTCCCTCACTGCCCCTCCTGCCCACCCCATGTTCTCCCTCACTGCCCCTCCTGCCCACCCCATGTTCTCCCCCACTGCCCCTCCTGCCTACCCCATGTTCTCCCTCACTGCCCCTCATGCCCACCCCATGTTCTCCCCCACTGCCCCTCCTGCCCACCCTATGTTCCCCCCCCCACTGCCCCCCATCCTGCCCACCCTATGTTCCCCCCCCCACTGCCCCCTCCTGCCTACCCCATGTTCCCCCCACTTCCCCCTCATTGCCCTGGCTGTCACCTGACAGCTCGCAGTCACATAGCTATCACCCACATCATGTGATCACTGTGACAGCCAATGGCATGAAGGGGCAGCCAATGTAATGCCATTACAAAATCTTAAAGGGCCCATAGTAGGGGTTTTAAAATTACAACAGCGGGTTTGCAAGCACCCAATAGGCAACGGCAGAGGAGATGAGCCGTACATGACCCGTCCTCCATGACATCCTACCATCAGTACCACCCCCCAATACTGACAATGGGGGGGGGGGAGAGAGCAGGGCCCAGGGATGGCTCCATACACCACCACGGCACATGACTGCGCTATACACACTATGAGGAGATGACATTACAGGTGTGAAGACACAACGAGCCCTGTACAACGCCATGGAATAGGTCAGCGCCATAATGAGTCCCATTGTGATTGTACAGAACATCATCTCCTTCTGGATACACAGCTTACTGTACACGGGCTGCAGTCCATGTGTACTCCCCGGACACAACAACGGGCCCCTGGAGGAAACACACCAATGACAGACAAAGAGGAAGGGGCCCCGCACCCAGCACCGCACACAGCCGGCCCCGCACCCACCTCCACCACAACACGGGGCCCCAACACACCGCCCACAGCGCCCCATACACCTCACACTCCGCTCACTCTGCACTTACCGGCCATCTTGAGGGCTGAGCCGGGAGGACGGAAGCGCGCACCCTGCGCCCAGGCGCGTCCCCGAAGCTCGCCCCGTCGGCTGCGCGCTCTGGCTGAGGGGCTGCGGGGCCGAGGGGACGCGCTGGGAGTATTCCCGTCACGTAGCGCGCTCGCCCCCTGGCGGGGATTGCAGGGTTCCTAGGCCAGCGGCTGCAGGGGATTGGCTGCTTCCAGTTCAAGAAGACTGTTGTTGTCTTTCTTCGGTTCAAAGAATCAAATGAAACATTGTTGTTGTTTAAATATCCTGACGGTGCTGCGATGTTCTCTGCGATCCACGAGAAAAAACGATTTTTTGACTGTTTTTCTTTTAGGGTTAAAAAAAAGAAGCAGAATACATTTTATATATATAGCAAGCGATCTAAAAAGGAAGAAAAAAATTATATATATGTATTTATATATACACACATTTTACATATACAGGATATACTGTACAGAGTTATATATACCAGTGTGCCATTTTAAAAAAAGAAAGAAGGTGCAAAAAGCAATATTGTGTATATAGCAATATATGTATACATCATTACTATAGAATATATATATATACTAGTGTTCAGGGGCGGACTGACCACTTGGAATCTCGGGCACTGCCCAAGGGCCCAGGGTCAGTAGGGGGCCCCATGAGATGCCCCTGGTACCTTTTTCATAGGCTTTTTTGAGTTTGGGCAAGGACACAGGGGCCCCATGATCCCCTATTGCCTGGGGGCCCCATGATCCCCTATTGCCCGGGGGCCCCATGATCCCCTATTGCCCGGGGGCCCCATGAGTTGTCAGTCCGCCCCTGATAGTGTTACATAAAAAAGATAAAACGAAGCAAAGAGTAACACTGTTTATAATATATATATATATGACATTTCATATACACAGTATATATTCTAGTGCTCCATTATCACTATTATTATCACTGTTTTACCATTTATATGGCATTTTTCCTTTATTTTTCAAAGCTCAATCTTTTTTTTTTTGTAAAGACCCCCCCCTAGTTCCAGGGGTGGGCAACTGTGGCCCTCCAGCTGTTGGTGAACTACAAGTCCCATCATGCATCTGCCCTTGCCTGCCCTAGTTGGTTTTAATTAGAAAAAAAAAAAAAACAACTGCACGTCTGTCTGCAATATTCCCCTACTTTCTGGTGCTGTTCCCTCCCCCCCTCCTGCAGAAATTCAAATCCCTGATTAGACTCGTCACTCTTCCTGGTTCAATGATTCCCATAGGAGATCCTGTGAGTGCAGGGGGTCTTGGACCCACCCCCTGGGAGCATCTTCATTATAGCATCCTAAAATTGAAATACTGCCCACTAGAGGACCTTTACAACTGCCACTTCTGGGATTCATACACCTCTACCAGACAGCACAGCCAGAGGAGTGGACACCACCTTAAGCAGTGGTGTATTTAGGTTTTGTGCTGCCTAGGGCTCTCAACTTCATCCGGCCCACAAAACTGTCAGACCCCCCCCTCCCCCCTCGTGGAGAGAGCCTGACACTGACCAACACCATATCACCCCCCCAATGGAGAGAGCCTGACAACGACTGACAGCACATCACCCCATCACCCCGCACCCCCCCCCCCCCCCCAGGGAGAGAGCCTGACACTGACCAACACTACATCACACACCCCCCCCCCCCCAATGGAGAGAGCCTGACAACGACAGACACCACATCACCCCCGCACCCCCCTCAATGGAGAGAGCCTGACACTGACCGACACCACATCACCCCGCACCCCCCCCCCCCCCAGGGAGAGAGCCTGACACTGACCAGCACCACATCACCCCCCCCCCCCCCACAGAGAGAGCCTGACACTGACCAACACCACATCACCCCGCAGAGAGCCTGACCTGACCAACACCACATCACCCCCCCCCCCCCCCAATGGAGAGAGCCTGCCAATGACCGACACCACATCACCCCGCACCCCCCCCCCCCCAGGGAGAGAGCCTGACACTGACCAACACCACATCACCCCCCCAATGGAGAGAGCCTGACAACGACTGACACCACATCACCCCACCCCCCCCCCCCCCCCCCCCCAGGGAGAGAGCCTGACACTGACCAACACCACATCACCCCCCTCAATGGAGAGAGCCTGACAACGACAGACACCACATCACCCCGCACCCCCCCCTCAGGGAGAGAGCCTGACACTGACCAGCACCATATCACCCCCCCCCCCCACAGAGAGAGCCTGACACTGACCAACACCACATCACCCCGCACCCCCCCCCCCCCCTGACAATGAATCACCCCCCAATGGAGAGAGCCTGACAACGACAGACACCACATCACCCCGCACCCCCCTCAATGGAGAGAGCCTGACAACGACAGACACCACATCACCCCGCACCCCCCCCCCCTCAGGGAGAGAGCCTGACACTGACCAGCACCATATCACCCCCCCCCCCACAGAGAGAGCCTGACACTGACCAACACCACATCACCCCGCACCCCCCCCCCCCCCCCAGGGAGAGAGCCTGACACTGACCAACACCATATCACCCCCCCAGGGAGAGAGCCTGACAATGACAGACACCATATCACCCCGCACCCCCCCCCCCTCCAGGGAGAGAGCCTGACACTGACCAACACTACATCACCCCCCCCCCCCCCCCCCCAATGGAGAGAGCCTGACAACGACAGACACCACATCACCCCGCACCCCCCTCAATGGAGAGAGCCTGACAACGACAGACACCACATCACCCCGCACTCCCCCCCAGGGAGAGAGCCTGACACTGACCAGCACCATATCACCCCCCCCCCCCCCCCCACGGAGAGAGCCTGACACTGACCACCAGCACCACATCACCCCCACACACCCCCCCCCCCCCCCCCCCGCAATGGAGAACGCCTGACAACGACAGACACCACATCACCCCCCACCCCCCCCCCCCCCCCAGGGAGAGAGCCTGACACTGACCAACAGCAACTGACCAACAGCACATCGCCCACCCCCCTCCCCCACATTGAGAGAGGAGAGGCCTGACACTGACCAACACCACATCACCCCCCCCCCCCCCCCCAGCCAGGAGAGCCTTCCACGACCCCCCATACATCCACCACCATGACACCCCCCACCCAGCATGAGAGAGATGCTCACCTTCACAGCTCCAGATAACCCCGGGAACAAGAGTTGGGCTCTGCATACACAGTCAAGCAGCCCACAGCCTCTCATGGATCCCACCTGTTCCCTATGCCATGTGTGTCCCTTCTTCCACCGCCCCCCAAAAATGCCACCCTAGGCAAATGCCTTGTTGGCCTTGTGGTGAATACGCCCCTGCCTATAAGCACAGAGTTTATAGGCCAAGGACACATTCCAGTCTTCTGGCCCATGATGAATTATTGCACAGGAATGATCACCTAAACCTACTGGGATTTTCACTGCTATTTTCCCTTAGCCTGGGTTCACACTGATGCGGTGCGGAATTTGCAGCATTTTCAGTGTGAATTCCGCACTGCATCAGAATCGCACCCCCTTCATGTGAACCGCTGCGGGTGTGTATGTTAAGTTAACAACACCCCGAAAGCTCTCCACAAAACGTGGTGCGATGTGCAGAATCAGATTGCATAGGTGTGAATACCTATGCGATCCGATTCTTGTGCGGACCAAATAAGGGTCCTGCATGTTTTTGGTGCGGGTGCAGTGCAATTAGAACCATACAAAATGTACGGCTCCAGTCGCACACAAATTGCATGTAATTTGCACAGGACTGCGGTGCGGTTCCTGTACAAATCACATGCGATTTACCTCACCGCATATATGTGAACCCGGGCTTACATTTACACTTAAAGACAACCAGGGTAATATTCTAATGCATAGATTAAACAATAAGGGCTCATTTACACTTGCTCTCGGGGGGAAGGGGGCAGTAAAAATAGGAGGTTGAGACACAGTTTTACCACCCCCAACCACCCAGATTAAAATAACATGGCCGGATGAAGTTGAGAGCAATACACATCTGCAGCAAAAATTAAACCCTCGATTGTATTCAGCAGGCATGACCACCACTAAACATAACCCATTCAAATGAATGGAGCCATCCTGCAACCACACTCCAAACACAAGGCACACGGTTGCAGCACATTATTCCCATTGAAAAACTCAGTTTGGCTATGAGAAACAAATCAGGCGTTTGGAAGGTGGCAGTATCGCCTCCTGAATGCCTGTCAGCAGCTTCAGTACTGCTCTCTGAAAAGCGATCCACCGCAGACAGTTTGTTATAGATCAATGCAGGTGTAAAATAGCCCTCAGAGCAGTGGTGTATTTAGGTTTTGTGCTGCCCTAGGTTTTGTGCAGCCGCCCCCCCCCCCTCCCTCCCAGGGGGGAGAGCATTCCATTACCCCCTAGCTATTGTGATGCAGACGTGTATTACCATTCCATCTTGAAGAAGCAGACTGTGAGCTGGGAAGCTTTTCTACTATCAAAGCTATTACGATGCAGATGCAAGGCAGCAGAATACTGTTCTATCCTGAGGAAGCAGACCAAGTCTGTGAAACGTGTCGTGAGCTGGGAAGCTTTTCTACTATCATAGCTATTACGATGCAGATGCAATGCATTGTATTCCTGTTCCATCTTGAAGAAGCAGACCATTTCTACGAAACGTGTCGTGAGCTGGGAAGCTTTTCTACTGTCATAGCTGTTATGGTGTAGATGCAAGGCAGTGTATTACCATTCCATCCTGAGGAAGCAGACCAAGTCTGCAAAACGTGTCGTGAGCTGGGAAGCTTTTCTACTATCATAGCTATTATGATGCAGATGCAAGACAGTGTATTACTGTTCCATCCTGAGGAAGCAGACCAAGTTTGCGAAACGTTTCGTGAGCTGGGAAGCTTTTCTACTATTATAGCTATTATGGTGTAGATGCTAGGCAGTGTATTACTGTTCCATCCTGAGGAAGCACACCAAGTCTGCAAAATGTGTCGTGAGCTAGGAAGCTTTTCTACTATCATAGCTTTTATGGATGTAGATGCTAGGCAGTGTATTACCATTCCATCCAGAGGAAGCAGACCAGTTCTTTGAAGCACGTTGTGAGCTTGGAAGCTTTTCTACTATCATGCCTATGATAATGT